AAGTTGGTAGGCTTGCAGGGCAGCTCGTGTGTTCGAGAGGCCCAGGAGGGGGCTCTCATTGACCTCAATGGCATCATATCCGCCCTTGGAATCAGTGCACATGATGCCCGTAATCTGCATCACCTGTTGTTCTACTTGTTGGACTAGATCATGCCGTAGAGCGCGAGCTGGATCGCCTTGTCCAGCTCCGTGTAGCTCGCTCCACAGTAAGCGAGTGCGGAAGTTTTGGTCTTCCGCTTCCAGCATGGATTGCACTTCAGCATCGTTACTGCTTATCGCCTTGCGTTTAAGCTTCCACGTTCTCCATGCCAAAATGCACATTGGGCAAACGCGTCCATCTGTGCATCCAGGTCCCGCCATCACGGTGATGAGACCTCCCGTAGAGTCTCCTTTCGGCCTATTGTTGTGGGCTTGGTCCCCGAAGCTGATGAAGACCACGTCGCGCCAGTCCTTGGCGTCGGGGAACTTCTTGAAGACGAGCTTGGTGGGTGAAGCTCGTAGTTCGCCTATGAGAGCTTGAATCTCTCGAGCCACTTCCATAGTAGGATTGGTAGCCAGCTCCGAAGTGAGGAGGCTGCACCTTGCACAAATCAACGGTTGGCTCTGCGTAGCAGCCCATTGTAGAGCTCCAAGAGAACCTCGGCATGCGTTGATCTCCTTGTGGTTCAGCTGACCATCCATACGTAGGCGATCGGGATCAATGTCGATGTCAGGCAGGGCGTCCGTGTAGTAGGACTGATTGACTTCAATCGCATCAAAGCCGTTTTCATCCTTGATGGTACTCACATCGGTTCCTGCATGACGATAGTTGCGAAGCTTCGTCATTCCCCACTTGTAGGCTTTGTTCACGGACTCCTTCACTTGGATCCATTCCGGCGAGCCGTCGCCGATTCGATGGAAATCATCAACATGACCACCCATCGCGCCGATGGCCTTAGGATGGTCACCGTCCATTGTAGTAGCCGACTTCCACATCCACAAGCAACGCTCGCCGAGAACAGGTTCAGCTCCAAGCTTACACAAGGTGTTGTGTAGGTCCAACCAGAGGCCTCGTGGTGCAGTAGTGCTCCCGTAGATGTTGCGTAAAATGCGCATGATTTCTTCGGAGCCTACGCCAAGAGCATCACGAAGTTCTTGAACGCCAGAGGTCCACAACTCTTGGTCGGCTTCAGTAGCTTGGGTTTGCAAGAACGCTGTTGCTAAATCCAAACCTTCAAGATCCCATTGGTGGTGGGCCGACATGGCGTAGATAAGATTCCTGCCCAGTGTAGATTGTACTGGACTGGCCGTCTTGAAGTTGGGATCCAGGAGACTTGGGTGTTCAAAACCCAAAATCACAATGCGTGCCTTGGCCTTCTTGAGGCCATCTCGTGTGTGAACCGAATTGGGATTCTCCGTCGCATCCTTCTTTGCCTCAGTCAAGTCCTCGCTGGGAGTCAGCTTCCAAGTCAGAACCCATCGTGCACGAACAATGCGGCGGGTCTCGTAGGCCCGCTTGATCTCCTCGTCGTCTGTGCACCGACGGACCGCTTCATTCTTGATGAAGGATTCCACCTCCTTAGCCTTGGCCCTCCGGAACAGTTCGCGCTCAGCAGGAGACAGCTTGGACAGGGCAACTTCTGCATCCTTCATCTTCCGCACCAAATAGGCGGACGGATTGTTGAGGAGCATTTTCTTTTGGCGGTTGGACTGGGGCATCTCCAGGTCAAACTCAATCTTGAGGAATTCCTCGGTGTTCTCCAGAGCGCTGAAGATATCAAACTGAGCCTCATGAGCTGCCTCAGCCTTGAGAATCTCAACCCAGTTGCCATCCAAACGAGCTCTCTTGAGGTCGGTCTCATCGTAGTCATTGACATTTTCCTCGGAAGGGCGAACAGTGGGGCCTTTGGATTCCTCGGTGTTGGGATCCTGGGCAGCGGTTGCCGTAGTCGTTGGATTGGTTGACGACGAAGGCGTGGATGCACTTGGTTGTGGGTCCCCAGGAGCTTGTAGTAGATCAGGTCGAGTTTTCCGGACGACTCGACGGGTAGGCGGAATGGCTGTGGTGGCATCAGGTTGAGGTGGTAGATCTGGACATTCTACTTCATCCTCCAAGGGACTGTGGTCTACCAAGTCGAAGTACTCTCTCTTCGGCAAGACGTCAGAGAGCGATCGCCACTCGTCTGGCCTGTCCTCGCCGGAAGTTTCAAATTGAAAGCGTTCAGTCTCCGTCACGGGGCGGACTGAATGGACAGAGCATCTGAAGAGTTGGCTTCCGACCAGCACCCAAACAATATGTCGGCGATCATCTCCTTGTTCTTGATGAGGAAGGACTTCGCTGAAAACCACACGGCCGGGGCCTATCCAGTGAGGTCGTCCAGACTTCTTGAGGCCTCCCCGAGGTCCCTGATGTTGGGTCGTTGGCCACACTTTGCGCCACACTTTGACTAAATCTAAAGGCTGATACTGCCGAAGCGGTTGTCGCACAGTAGTGTTCCCGAGCTTCGAAAGCACCCGTTTTGCGCGGGTCAGCTTGGCAGTGGCCTCAGCCTTTTCACGTAGAGTCACAAGCCGAGAGAACTCGTCCTTGAAGTCGGCCGCAGCATACGTTCGGACGTCTTCATCCGTCATGGAGTACTCCTTGCCGTAGGCCCATTGAAAGGAAGAAAATCCCGCCGTGTACTCAGTGGCATTCAAGGCAGAGGTGGCCAAATGGAGGGTCACGTAGGGATCCTGGTCCATGGCCTCCAAGTAGATAGCCGAAGCGGTCATCTTCACATCCTGAACGCCAGCTTCGATGGTGCCGTGAGCCCATGCTTCCTTTTCCGCCACATAGGAGAGGAGTACATTGACACTGGAAGCAAACTCATGGACGGCATCCGAGGAGAAGCTCTTTGCAGCATCCAGGATCAGAACTTTTGGTTTGGGGAACACACCCAACCATCGCTCAGCAAACGCCCGAATCAGGTCACCGCCTGACTCTGCTCGCATCTCCAAGAAGCCGTAGGTGAACAGTGGGCACACCACGCGGAGCTTGGTCGCCAGGTCCATGAACAGGAGAAATTTGACCTTCACTCGACTCCCCGGGGGAACCCATTCGCCTGAGTCCACGCCGACTGCCTCCCAAGCAGCGTACATTGCATGAGTGCTGGCAGGCGGCACTTGTGCAGAGCTGGTACCACCAGCCTTCAGACTGGCACATGCAGGGCACTGGTGGTGTAGCGCAACTTCCACCTTCCAGTCAGGATGTCCTGCATCTTTGATAATGCGAGCCAAGTTCCGGTTTGTTGGGTGTCCCGCGGCCTTGTGGAATTTGGCCACTTGCGCCTCCCAATGTCGAAGCTCTTTTGGAGGCACACCATCCAAGTTCACTTCCTGCGTCTGAGCTGGTAGTAGATCAGGTAAAGCAGGAGGTGGTTGAAGTGGAAGGGGAAAGCGAAGGTCACAAAGTTTCCGCCAAGACTCAGCATCCAACTGGAAGAGCAGCCGGGTGGTGTAGGCCGAAATGGCAATGCGATAGCCAGTCCACGATTGGGTCGCATGGTAGGCTTCTGGCTGGAAGCTCACAAACTTCTTGTAGATGTCGTGGACAACACCTCGGGCCAGTGAACCATCAGGTAGTCGACGGCGTGAGGTGCCCGCATGGGACGAAGAGTCCTCGGATTGTACCCACAGACCACCGCCAGCATAGTTGCCAAGGCCGTGGAGGATGTTGATGGTGTTCTTCAAGTTGTGATGGTCCCGGTGGGGTAGGGCACGACCATTGAAAGTAATCATCAAGCTTGACCAATGGTTTGTGGGATTGTAGTGGAGGAGGTACTCATTGATGTAGCGAGCGGTCTCGGGAAGCCTACCTGAAATGTTGGTCACACCACCAAAGGCTCCATGAGAGTAACCGCCAAGGACCACATGGATGGGACTTTCCTTGGGCCACCGGCCATGTTGCGTCCGTGATAGACCCAGGCGCTGAGCCAGCTCCATCAGTATGATCTGGCAGGTGTCCATGTTGAAGTCCTTGCGTATTCGAGCTTCCCGGGACAAGTGTTCAATCTCCAGTCGCTCGCTTTCCACCACACCAAACCCATCGTAGTCCTCCGACACGGCCGCTTCTGCATCCACCATCTCTGTAGCCAAGTAGGTTGACAGCGCTCCTTCTTCCACCAGTTCACCATCATGTAGTTCAAGAGGATCTTCTCGGCGTCGAAGAAGATGTAGATGTTTAGAAGGAGCGAGCCGCTCTCGCCAATGTCGAGCAACAGCTTGAACAAACTTCCATGGGTAGAAGTTGGTGGCCGCATTTGGCTCAGTGAGGTCGGAGTGGATGCCGTGATTGCCCGGACAGACCTTGGCGCGAAACACCCGGTGAAATTGTTCGTCGGTGGTGCGAAGGAGCCACGGTCTCTTGATGAACCGGCCAGATCCGTCCTCTCGAAGACCATAGTTGCAGCCATCCACTCGACACGGTAACCAGGGGACTCCATGATTCGCCATATGTTCGGCGAGGTCTTCCATGGGCTGTTGCTTCCAACCGTTGCTCGGCCATGGCCACTCGAAGTAAATCTGGATCATGGGGTCGTCGGCGAGGGCCTCCTTGATGAACTTGTTCGCTTCCCACAGTAGTCGCCGTTCCTTCCGTCGTGCCGTGGCCAACTTCTCCTGGGACTCGGGAGTGTTGTAGTTTATCGCAGACCACGAACACCACTTCGAAAACGGTAGAGAGAACCACAGCTTCATAGGCCTCCGCTGCGTCCGAAGAGTTTTGAGACGGTCCCAAGTGTCCTTGCGGTAGAGGTCGAAGCCGTTCCGGAGGTTGACAGGAAAAGCAGACATGCCATGGTCCTCCGCCGCTGAGCTCAGCCAACAGTGGGGTGAGCATGAAACCTCCCAGAGGCCGTCGCGGCCCGTCAAGTGAAGACCAAGAAGAAGCGAGGAGGTTGCCGAAGCCATCATCGCCGTCATAGCCATCACCTTCTTGCCCATAAACAAGGGAGTCGTCTGTCTGGTAGTCCGCGGTTGCAGCTTCACAGCTGCTTGTCGTTCTCCATCTCGTAGGCCTGAATCAGCTCCTGGTCGTAGTCGTCGTTCACCATTCCCCAGGTCGTGCTCACCGGCGAAGTGGTCGTCGAGGGAGCAGGATAGCCGCCCGTAGTGAGGAGCTCCGTCACCGCCTTCTGGAGGACCTCCTCGGCATTGATCTTGGCCATCATGTGGTGGCAGATTTTCGCAGTCGGCTTTTTGTCTCCCAGCATTCCTTGGAGACCAAGAAGCATCTTCTTCACCATCGCCGGGTTCGTCACCGCCGTCGTGTTGGAAGGTGACCCTTTTCGAGGGGTATACAGAAGACGAAGGTCGCAGTGCTGGCAGTGAATCCATTGGCCGTGCTGATTGCTCATCGGGGCAGCTGGAACATGTTGGCCGAAGCATGGCCACTGACTCGCCTGGGAGCGCGGGTCGCGAGGGTCTTGTTTCATCACCCTCAGCTTGTCCAGCGAGCGAGGCCTTGATTTGGCCTTCGCCTTTGCCTTCGTGGAGGCGGCCAGAATGGCCTCTACCTCCGGATCCGCAGCCGCTGCCGTCGAGCGCGAAGCTGCCATTCTGAGAATCGCGAGAAGAGGAAGTTGTCGGGTCGACGGAGTCAGAGAGACTCAACATCTGAGCTGAAGACGCTGCTGTCGGAGACATAGATTGTGAGCGCTGATACAACCTCCACATGCGATCTCTTGCAGCAGACAGGTCCCGCTCTAGCAGCTGACGATCACTCACTTGCAGGTCAATCCACACAGTCCACAACTCGAGTAGTTGATGTGACATGGTTGAAGTAGAGGGCTGAGGTCCGTCCCGTACCAACACATGAGCATGACCTTCTTCACACTTGTGCCCTCTAGTTAAATATTGGACGATATCCAGAGTGTAGTGGCCCTTACGGTTCACTGGCAGCTGAAAGATCTCGGGGGACGACTCCTTCGTGTACATAGCCAACCCGGTAGCAAAGTCTATCATCATGCCAACACCCTCCGGACCAATAAAATCCATGCCAATCAAGATGGGGACTAGGGTGCTCTTGTCAAACTGGGCTTGGTAGTACTCTGCAGGATTGGGGAGTGTGTACAAGGCAAACGAACGAAGATGTCCAGAAGCTCTGCTTTGAATACTGACACGACAAAGTGCACGCCCCCACTTCCCGTTGCCGAAGCGAAAGTATGGCCGCGAAGCTTGGTCCAGTTCGATGTGTGCCTGTCGGTCCTGTGACAAAACAGCTTGTACAAGAGACTGAACTACAGCTTCAGGTGCAGCCGAAGCCGTCGCTCCGGAGTCCAGCATCGCCATGCTGGGAGAAGTGGATGCCATGTTGGTCGCATTCAAGTCAAAGGACTCGCGAAGCTCAAGACCGCCCACGAAGTACTCAGCGCTGTAGGCATTCACAGATCGGTGAGGGTCCTTGCCCTTACCCTTGCTCTTCTGCTTGCCTTTCATCCAAGCAGCCTGAACATCAGACCAGTAGCCCTTCTTACTCTTAGTCTTGCCCTTGCCCTTACCCTGGTAGTAGAGGCCGCTGTCGTCCATGGTCGCCTGGTAGTGGCCCTTGCCCTTGCCCTTCATGGAGCTGAATCGCCGATTGGGGCAGTCACGGACAAGATGTGGGCCACCGCACTCGAAGCAGGCGCCCTTGCCAGAAGTCACAGCTCCGAACCCACGGTCACGACGAAGTTGTTGGGTGGCCCGTTGGGCCTCTGTCCAGGTCCTTTGGGCCTCGGCGGCAAGATTCTCGGCTACTCTCTCGGCTTGCTGAGCTTCGCGAAGTCGCTCCTGGTCCTCTGGAGTGATGTCCTCGGACGCCGTAGTCGCCTGCATTCCATCATGGCCCGGCCAATCGGTCTCCCACCATCCAGCATTGTCATCCCAGGACTCCTCGTAGTGCTCGCCGTACATCGAGTCTGGCAACCACTCATCCTCCCAGTAGCCCATGAAGGCGTGATTGTCGTAGCCGTCGTCCGAGGCGGTCACGTAGTTCGCGCTGTAGTGGCCTTGCCCATGGGAACCTCGGTGACCCAGAAGTTGGTCGTCCCACAAGCTCTGGAGCGCAGCAGCCACCACCTCGTAGTCCAAGGAGTTCTTTGTGCTACTGAGGATGTCACGTTTCTCCTCAGCAGACAGTCCCGCTGCCTGCAACAAACGCCATCCCCTCAAGACTCCGAGGATAAAGGAGTCGGCCATAGACATCTCGTCGATAGCCTCGGGAGGAGAACCAAGAGGCCGTACTTGTTCAGAAGGATCACGAAGAGGAGCTTGATCAACATCACCTCGATGGCTGGGAGAAGAGCCCGGGGCGGCCGCAGGTGTCGTCGGAGTCACTGGCGGCGCGGTCGCCTCGTCTGGAGCATGAGGTTCGGGAGAATCGCCGGCAGGAGGAGCTTCATCACCTTCACCCTCATTGTAGGCATCATCATCCCACCAACTCCAGCCGCCATGCCACTCATCCCAAGAGTCCGTGGTTCCAGAGGGCAAGCCGAAGTCGCGTGCCTCCTGAGAGATGCCCAATTTCTCTTCGTGAAGTCTGATGATAGCTTCCACAAACTCTTCATGAACCAGCGTCTCCCTCACCAAGAAGTTCCCTATGCTCTCTGCAGGATTGCGGCGAAACGAAAAGTACTGTTGGCAAATCGCTGCAGCATTCGGAAGAGAGCGGCGCACAAGCGGCGAGGCCGCTAGCCGTTGAAGAAGGACTTTCGTCCCTTCCTCAGAGTCCAGCGACATCCGTGACCACGACATCGCCAATAGCCTCGCAGGTCCAGTGAGTCGGCTCAGCAGTTTACTGGCACAGTATCTACGCTTGTGGCTCGGTGTAGAAGTCACCCACCAAGCCACTTCCCTCGTAAACCGCCGCCATGTCCTTGCAGAGCCATCCCAGGATGGAACAGCAGATCGATCGGCGTTCTCTGCCATGGTTTCCAAGTACTTGCGATCAACAGTTGGAGAAATATCAGAAAACTCGGAGAAAACTGCTGGAACAGCAGGCAGACGCGGTCCAGGTAGAGAGAAATGTTCACAGGTGGGACCGCAGTCTTCAAAGAGCTCGGAGCAGTTGAGCTAACCAGAAAACCCAGCAGGATCTCTTAAAGAGGATTCCAGCCAAGGCTCCCGGATCTCACTGCTCCGCTGCCAATGCAGCGAGTCGCGCACCGGCAGGTGATTGGGCTTCAACGTAGTAGCAGCTGGAACCCTCAACACAACGATCGAAGAGCGCACAGCTCTGCCTTTTCCAGTCGAGCGCAGGGCTCGGTCCGCAATGGCTCAAAGGCACTACACGTCAGCACCGAAAAAGGGGCCCCTCGTTCGAGCCTTCGCAGCGAACGTGGCATCGGTGACATTGCCTGATTTCAGGAGTTGCAGAACGTCAGGTTTGACGCTTGCAGCAAAAGCAGTTTCATTGTTTCCATGGAAAACGTATTCTTGGAGGCTCGAAACGCACGTTCCGGTTGGTTCTTGGGGGGGGTGGGGGGGTGGGGTTGGGGGCTAAGAACGTCCGTGTTTGGCGCGTGGAGCAAGAGAAGTCGCGTTGGCACCAGTACGTTCCGGTTGGTCCTGGGGGCCGGGTGGGGGGGTGGGGTGGGGGGCCAAGAACGTCCGTGTTTGGCGCGTGGAGCAAGAGAAGTCGCGTTGGCAGCAGTACGCTCTGGCATGGGGGGGAGGGTGGGTGGGGGGTGGGGTGGGGGGCCAGTAACATTCGATTTTGACGCTCGTTGGCAGCAGCAGGTGCGAGGGGTCCTGGGGTGGGGGGCTAACAACGTTGGTAATTGACGCGTGCAGCAAAGGAAGTCGCGTTGGCGCCAGCACGTTCTTGTTGGTTCCAGGTGGGGAGGGTGGGGGGTGGGGGTGAGCCAATAACGTCCGTGTCTGACGCGTGTGAAAACAGGCGTTAAAGACCGACACGGCGACTCGGAGCCTGCAAAGCACAAACTCTGAACGGACCGCCGAAATGTGCTTTTGCAGCCTGGAAAAGCAGGTTTTGGAAGGTCCGAACCTCATGCCGCTCGGAGGCGAGGAAAGCAAAAAGTAACCGCTGCTTTCGTCCCCCTGACTTGCTCGTGCTGGGTTCCACATGAAGAAGCTTGGCTTGGCCTGGCCAGTAGCCGAGACCTCGCGTTGGACGCGCCGCACTACTGCCTCCCGCTAAGCATAAACTCCGGACCGACCTCCAGAACGCAATTTTGCAGGCTCCAAAAGCGCGTTTTGGAGGGGTTCCGAGGACAGAACACCGCAGAATCCAAGGAGAAGAAGTGCACGGTGCAGGAATGGCCTTGCAAAACACGCTGTCTTTCCACGATCCGCGAATAACCAACCTCGTTTGGAATGCATGCGGCATGAAGCAAAACCGCCGCCCCCGTCGAGGTTTCGAGTCGATTGCTTACTTTCAACTGCTCGAAAACAGGGGCTAAAGAGAGACGCGGCGAAGCCGAATCCTGTGGCCCTGCCAGCACTCTAACAACTTCGGAGCCAAAAAGCGCGATTTCGAGCGTGCACGCCCAAAGCCGGAAACCACGGCCCTGCCGACGTTTCATGCACTTTCAGGCCTCCCCAACATCGCGAAGTTACAAGTAACGAACTCCGAATTCATTGGCCCTGCCAATACAAAACGCACCTCCGCGCGTACAGGCGACCGCCCAACGCTTTGCACAAGCGAACGGGCAAATCTTTGCACAAGTGACCGCTCAGCCCTCTTGGACTCCGCACGCTGCCGTACTTGCGGCCAAAGGGAAGATCCGAGACAACGACGTCGACGCAGTCCTTACGCGAGTCCGGTGCGGTAGCACATTCGTAATGAGATCCCTCTGGATGTTTCTCCGTGAAGATAGAAGGGAAGCCAGAGGCTCTGCCCTGCAGAGGAAATGGAAAGTAAAAGTCAGCAGCTGCATGCAAAAGCATGGTGCAGTGCAGACATCGGACAACCGAGCATTTGCACAACATTGGTACTCATGACATACGCCCAACATCAAATCCACGCCGATCCTGAATTTGTCTTCCCAGAGGTCCAATGCCAGCAAAGAGGCATCCGTCAGCGGCAGCTGTCGTGCCTGAGACCGAGGCTCAACGATTGGGTCTGCAGCAACCCCTGCCATGCTACGATGCTTCCCAGGGCGTATAGGCTCCTCTTCCCCGATCCCATCACCATCAGAACGTAAAACTCATTCTGTTCGCAACGGCTTGTCTCAAGACCTCTCGCTCTCCATGAGCTCGACTTCCAGGAGCAACTCTCACGGGATGGTCTGTTTCTCTCGGCGTAAACTACCGCACGGTGCCCGACAGTGAGGTGGACCAGGTCAACGACATGAACGGTTGGATGGCAGAGATGTCAAGCAGGCTTTTCGAGTTGGGGAGTCACTTGTTTTCGCATCGCCGCTGCGTGTTTCCAATCTACATCTTCGATCACGTTTCCTGCATGCCGGCCTAAGCGTATACGGATTCTCGAAGGGTTCGGATTTGCAGCTGTTTAACGCTACTACTGCAAAACATCGGACGGTCAGCTTTGCATCTCCGCTCATGTGCAATGTCAATTGACTGCAAGGCCTCATGGCTTTAGCAAACAGAACCTCCCAAACACTGTGGCACTGGATGCTCTCCATGGCACATCGGCGCAGCGGACCTCGGCCAGGTCCCGGAGACCGGTAGCCTGGAAGTTGGCCTCCATGCGCGCTGCGTGACTCGTGCCAGGTTCACGACGACAACTGCTGCTACTGTCAAGGCTGGAACTGGTTACACGGCTACGGTCTGATGTAACAGACCTGCGCCGATGGACATGAAGCTGACAGCACATCTGCGGGAGCAAATGCCCCGCACAAGCCCAGATTTGCAGCCTCAGCTTCAGTGACTCGTGTCGGGTCCAATTCGAAACCTGGCGGCATCAGGTGATGGTCGTGAGCCGTTAGCTCTACTGCACATTCAACGGCGGGCCGTAAGTCTCCAGCTGAACTACAATGTGGGCCACTTCAAGCCCACATCGCACAAGCTTGAAGTAAACCTAAACCTGACACCTCCCGATGCCCCTTCTCGTGCCTAGGAATCGGCCCGGCCACCGCCGTGCAAGAGCTGCAAGCAGCGCACCGCGGCCAGCGAAGGGATCCAGTACCAGCTCCCCCTCGCAAGGAAACTTAGTAGAGTACCATCTCCTCCCCAGAATCCCCAGAATCCAGTGAGCTAAGACGCCAAGATGCCATCCCCTCCATAAGGCTGGCCGCACAGGGTTTTGAAAAGCATCGCTCGCATGCGGCGTTGCCCACAGTTGTGGCAGCTACAATGCTCTCTATGGCGATAGTAGACCAGGTATTGCACTAAACTCAGCTGCTTCTCGAAACTGACAAACTCCATGTGGTCCACTCGCCCGCCGTTGTCCTTCGCCTGTGCTGTGATGGACTCGTAAAGCTCACCATCCGGGCGCTCAGGGGCCCTGATGCAGTCAGACACCGCCTGGTCCGTCACTGAACAGCTCTCGCCGAGCAGCACGCGAACCAGAAGAATGCACCGCTCCCCGGCAGCATGCCAGCAATCTTTGTGGGAGCATTTTCCGCAGCAGTCGCATGTGGTGTATAGATCCGATTTGGAGGCATTCTGTGCAAAGTACGCTTCTCTGCCAAACATGGAGCCGACAGCTTCTCCACCTCGCCGGGGATCGAGCCCTCGTCTCGCAATATCCTCCACAAGGTGAAGCGGGCAGCCATGGAAGAGCAGATGCTCATTTAAATCGGTGCAACCCGGCTCGACAGTACATTTGAAGGCCGTGATGTTCGGAATAGGATTACAGCCCTGCTTATTTCTCTGGAATACTTCCTCAGCCCGGGCAGTTTCATAGAGCTTCTGCCTTGTCGGATTGGCAACCTCACAGATGCGAGTTACGTTCACATCGGGTGGACTCGACCAACTGCTGGAACGAAAGCTTGCTCGATGGCTTGTCATGGAGGCGACGAAGAGATCATGCACGGCATCGTACTTCGGATGGCGATCGGGTATGGTCCGCAAAAGCATGTCTGCAGCTAGCGTGGAAACGTCAGACAGCGCAGACAAAATCTGTGCTGCTTTGAGCTTCGAGACTTCCCTGAAAACCTTGAGTTGGAGCTCAAGCTCAGCTGATTTTGCCTGCAACTCAGCCACCTGGATCTCCTTCTTTTCGCACACCTCCTGATTATCAGCAAGCTTCTTTTCCAGCTGGAGCCTGAGGCTCGCAGCCTCATCTGCCTCACGCTCCAACCTGTCACGCTCAAGCCCCTTTTTCTTGCATGCCTCCTGAGAGTCAGCGAGCTGCTGCACCAGTTCCTGCCGAAGGCCTTCCGCCTCCCATGCTTCGCGCTCCAACTTGTCCCGTTCAACCTCCGTTTTCTTGCATGCCTCCTCTGCGTCAGCTAACTGCGTCTCTAGGCGCCGCCGGAGAAAGGTTGACCTCTCCCATTCAACCCGCGACAAGCCTAGCTCTTTCTCCTTGTGCTCGCGGCTTTCCCGCTCCTCTTGGGAATTATCCGTGAGCGCCGCAAGCCTTCGAAGCTGCCGCATTTTGCCGGTTTCTGTGTTCTGTTGAGTGAAAGATCTCAGATCAACCCGATACAGGTAACGGTGGATCTGAACTTGACAATCTGCTCTGTGTATCTGGTATGCCCGCTCGATCACCTTTGTCGCCTCAGCTTCGATAGGCGACCAACCGTCTGGCTTGTGTGCCAGGAACTCCCAGCAAGCAGAGGTCGGTGATTGCGTATCACTTCGTCTCTTCTCATTCCGTGGTCCATCCCGAGTTGGATGCGGGCCATCTTCTTTGCTTTGCAACAACAGCAGCTGGCATCGAAGCTCTTCATTGCTTTGCGTCAGCTCCTCATTCCGGCGAGTCAGGGACTCCTCGCGCGACAGTTGGGAGCTGGTCTTGTGCAGCTCCTCTGCCAGTCCCGCGCTTTGTCCTTCCAAGAAGCTCAGATCTTTGGTCAAATCTTCGAACTTTCGCTTCGTTCGGCTCCTACCAAGTCTCAGCTCCAGCTGCAGCTGCTCCAGATCGGTGTAGAGTTCAAGCTCATGGCTAGGAAGGCTCAAGAACACATTCATTCGGCCTGATCCCGTGAACCTCGACGCATGAAGACTCCGATATCTGCTGTCTAAAGTCCATGTCAAGCTCTTTCGGAGCCAACGGGCAAAAGGACTGCTGCCAGCCCAAAAAGAGCACATATGCTTTTCACAAAGCCGTCTGCAAGGGCGGCTCTGTGCAGCACACAAACCACAAGGTCTGACTGAAGTGTGCGCAGATTCGCTGGGAAGATACTGCAATGAATAAAAATCTAGCCCATAAACAGCTTTGATTCACTGATGTTTGCCGTCTTTGGTGCAGGTGCCCAGTGGTCGCATGTGCTGCAAACCCGTGAGCGCCTCTGAGCTTCACTACCCGCAAGCACTCCCAAACAAAGCTTTTCGATGGCCTCCTGCAGCTTCGCCGCCGCTCCCAGCGCAAAGGCCACGGCACGGTGAAGGCCCCAGAAGGGTCTGAGGCTGCGATGAAGTGGCGCAAACTCCGTCCGTGTGCTTAAGGAAGAGCTATCACGTTCAAGCGTGAGTGTCAACCGATGGACTGTAAGAACAAACCTCTCACCTGCTGGGGATGGAGATGAAAAGCTTCGCATTTTCAGAGCTCGGTTTGTGCCCAAGCGGCAAGTTTGGTGCGGAACTTCGGCGAAAAAGCACGGGCAAACCTGCAGTGAACATGCTGCAGAGCCGCAGGATGTCCATGCTTTGTCTGTATCTGTGACGCGGTACATGCTGTATGATCACACACACACACGGAAATCGTGTTGCAGGCATTGGAAGATGGGAAGTCTTTATGCAAATACACGTGAAAACGGACACAGAAGTCTCAGAAGGCAAAGTTAAGTTCGGCAATCCACTATCAGCCAAGGCACCGCAGACAACACTGCGGCCAGCGGACAGCCAGACCACCAGGTTTGCATCCTCGCCATGTGCTAGAGTTCTCACAGCTTGTACTGGACGACTTACCGAACAGAATATAGTGAAGATGCTTCGGGGCCAGCAGGCGAACAGCTGGCGGCTGAAAAGGGGTCCAATCGTGCCTGCAGGCAGGCTGCTTGCTGAGCCCACGGAAGGCCGCACCTTGGATGACGAACCGAGAGCACAGATTCTGTGGCATCTTGCGGGTGTGGGGTTTCAAAGTATGTTGTATGCTTAGTTGCCTAAAATTACGCCAGCAGCCCGATTTCGCAGCCACTGGTCTAATCGGAAATGCAGTTACAATGGGACCGGTGCAGTTACAGAACACTTCGCGATGTACGGTAGCACAGGCCATCCTGTGTTCGTTGATAAACACATGACCAAGACTAGATCGGTCAAAGCCGCTGAATGCAGCAGAGACGCTGCAAGGATCTGCGAAGGGCGTCTTCGAGGACATTGACACTGGAGAGCTGGAGATCAGATGCAGCAAAGGATGGACGTGCGGCCTGAAACCCAAGAAAGTCAACTGACATCTTCTACATAGGGCTACCGGCTGGCTCTTCTCAAATCCAACTGCAAGGTCCCAAGGAAGAAACAAAACTTTAGAAGAGAAATGTCCATGCTCAACGGAGGTTGGAAAGACTCTAGTGGTGCCCGGCTTGCGAAGGCTTAGGTTGATCTCTCCCGCTGCGCTAGAACTTTTGAAGCGGTCTGGCACACTTGTTTTCACTCGATCCTTGAAGGGCTGCCGCAGGTCACAGGTGCATATGCCCACATGTTCAAAAATCGCATCACCCCCCTCAGCCATTCAAGGGGAAACTTCGAAGAACAGAGGACTTTTATCGTCCTTCCAGGCCCAAGCCCTTCAATCATTGGGCTCAACCCACATGGCTGTGGCAAGATTCAAACAGCGGGCACATGGGTGCTTTAAGCGCCTTTGGTGCCCCCTGATATACGGACAGTCTTCGTCGAAGTGCACGCGCTCCCCGTGCATGGTCACATACATGTCCTGGAGCCTCGGGTTCGGCACGCAAGCGCTGAGGTCCTGCGGGCTGGTCTGTGTTCCCCGCTCGGTGCGCTTGATCTCCGGCGGCTTGTGCATGAAGGCGCGGCAGCACCAGAAGACCGTAGCAACGATCACGGCAAGGATGCCGACCGCTACGGTGAAGTGCCCCCCTGCGCTGCCATCACCTTGTTGCTCCCGGTGACCACCAATTCAGTGGCCGTCGCCCCGGGGACCTGGCTCATCATGATGGCCGCCGCTAGCTTCTTTGCATTCATGGTGCCGACCCCTTTTTTGATGCTGTTAAACATCTCCTTGGCAACCTCCGCCCTCACCTCGGCCTGCCCCGGGACATTGTCGATCACCCCGAGCATGGTGCGCAGCATCACGAAGCGCTCGGCGTTCATGCCTTTGGTGTGGATGTCGGCCGCGTTGTTCTGGGTGTCCACCGCCAGGAGCTGGAACTTCTTCTCCTTGAGCCCGGCTTGCACCCACAGGGACTTCGTCTCCAGATGCCGAATTCTTCCCACTCCTTCTCTCTGAAAGACCCCTCTCGCTGCACTGCTGTCCAAGTAAATCTTAAGGACCACCGGGATGCGGAAGAAGTCGAGGACCTCCTTGTAGAAGATGCCCTCCGACGTGGCAATCACGCCGCCGTTGAACTCGGCCTCGCCGCTGCTCAGGCATATCATCGAGAGCCCTCTGCTGTAGGAGCCTATCAGGCAGTCGCCCCACATGAAGACGCCTCCCCCGCAGCTCTTCCTGGTTTTCTTGCAGCTTGCCCAGTCTGTGTCCGAGGCCACATTGAGGGATTCCATGTCGCCCCCAGCCGGCAACCAAACTCCATGGTCCTTGGTGCCCTTGAGGTACCGCGTCAAGCGACGCAGTGCATTCATCCCGCTGACCGTCGGGTTCTTCATCTCCTTGGTCAGCTCCCTGACCGCATGCTGGACGTCGGGGCGGTCAAAGGAAAGATAAAGGGCCTTCCCCACGCACCCACGCAGGAGCGGAAGTCCGCCGCCTTGGCTTTGTCCAGGGGCGTCTCGTCGACCACATCCTTCCCGATGGCCTCTGGCGTGGGTGCTGCATTGGCATGCTCCAACCCAAGGATCTTGAGCATGCCCTCCAGGTACTTGGGGTTCGGCTGCACAAACATCCCTGTAGGGGTCAGCGTCCTCAGCCGACGCAGGTGCTCGTAGGTGTCCCCCACGCGGTGTATCTGGTACTTCATGACCACCTTCAAAGACAGGGCCTCGAGGAACTCGATGGATTCCCTCTCTGGGCCCGTGCCGTGGAAGTCGTCCATGTGCACTTCCATGCTGATGTCCCGGGCCCCGTGGTGGAAGAACCATGGCACCACCACTGATCTCTCGAAGCCTTCACTGCCCGCTTGCTTCGCCGCCCAGTCCACGAACTTTTGCCCGGCGATCCTCCTCCCATACCATTCCTTCTTGAGCCTCCATAGCACGTCGGTGCTAAGGCCCTTCTCCCTGCGCTCCTCGAGCCATTCCTCTGGAGGATACATGTAACACTCCTCGTCGATGGGCACCTGCCAAAAGGCGTTCTCAGCGTCCAAGGTAAAGAACACGTACCCCTTCTTGACCCCGATGGAGTCGATGATTCGAGAAGTCGCCTGGGAGGATGCCACCGCAAACACATCAATCCCTGTCGCTCTTGCTCTTCAGGTCCCTAAGGCAAAACCTGCACTTGATGCGGCCGTCGGGCTTCTCTCGGATAACCCAGGTGCTGTCCAGGATCTTCTTCCCGGCTGCCTCGGCTGCTGGCCTTGGCTCGTATGTATCATACTTGTCCATTTTCCTGAGCTCCTTGATCTTGCCCTCCAGGACCTCCGGGATGCGGTGACTGAAGTCGTGGATCTCCTTGTCGCCGTCAGCGCCCTCCGTCTCAGCATCCCACCATTCTTCTTCGCACTCCTCGAAACAGCTCTGTTCCTCCTGGGGCTTGTAGAGGGTGGCTGCCGCAACATTGCCAATCTTGATCCTCTTGGCCTCTGCTGGGTCTCCCTCGGCCGCCCTCTTGTTGTCGCCGCCGGCCTCGGTCTCCATTGGTGCACCTGTGGGCGGCTCGGCCCCGCAGCCTGCGGAACCTGAGTTCCTTGCGATCTCGGCGTCGTCCAGGTCGCGCTCGGCAATCTTGTCCCGAACTTCCTGGTCTATCGTCCTGCGCTTCTTGCCCGAGCCTTCTGGAGGAGCCGTCCTGGGAGTCGCTGGTGCCGCGGTGGCCGGTGTGGCCGGGATGTCCATTGCCGGTGTCTCCGGTGCCTGGCTTCCTTCCATCGCCGCCGCTGGCTGTGCTTCCATCCCTCCTCGCGACATGGCGAGTCGCCTGGGTCCCTTCAGTGTGCTCTTGGTGTCCCAAGGGAGCCCGACGAACTTGTTGAGGAGCTCCTTGTTGGCGCGGCCAGTCGGTGGCAACCGTCTCACAGCTCTGGCCGCGTAGACCCCGTCCTCGGTGCCGAAGATGAACTCGTTGGTGGCGACGCTCTTTCCCAGGAAGATGCCTTGGCGCCACAAGCTGTCGCCCTTCAGCTGCCGCTTGCGTCCTTGTACTGCCCCCGTTTTGCTGATTGGCGTCCTGAACATAGCCGTCTCGCCGAAGGGCAGGATCTCCCCGGAATAGGAAGTGTCGAAGGCGTCCTGGTAGGCGGTGCGGCCGTTGGCTTTGATGCCGAACCGGCTTCTCAAGAAAGACGCCCAGCGAACCATCCAGGGCCACGCGTTGTGCGAGGTGAGCAGCTTCATCTGGTACTTGGCCTCCATGTCGTACCGCAGGGTCAGCACATCGGTCTTGAGGGTCCTTTGGAAGTACACCACCAGGTCCTTGCGAAAGGTGTCCAGGAGCCGCTTGCCGATGGCCAACACCGCCGGCTCGCCGTCGGTCCTTATGACCACCTTGGTGTGCCCGAGGCTCGTCACGAACTCGCCCAGCCATCTGCTCACATAGTCCGGGTCGTAGTTCTTGCTCGGCAAGCAGGCCGCCGTCGCCATCCCCGTCGCCTCGTCCCAAGCACTTAGGATGACCTCTGTGGCCTCATCGTCCTCCCGTGCCGTCGACCTTGATGAAGGAGTAGTCCACCTCAACCCTGGGATTCGTCGCCTTCAGCTCCAGGGGCACGTGGCGGTGGGCCGTGTCGATGGCTCTGCCCTTGATGCAATGCTCACACCAGGGCTCCGGCGGCAGGTGCGTGAGCTCGTGCTGTGCTCGCTGTTCCGGCGTTGGGTCCTGAGGTCCGGCCGGCGTGGCTGCCGGCTCCGCGGTGCCTTCCCGAAGCTTCTTCTGCCGAGCCTGGTGCTGCTTGAGGGTCTTTTGGTGTTCCCGCTCGGCCTTCTCCAGACGCTTCCACAGCTGCTGCTTGCTCCCGTACCGCGGCTGGCCCAGCTCCTTGAGTCTGGCCTTCAGCTTCTCCGCTTTGTCGAAAGGCGTGAGCTTGGACTTGCCGCGGCGCTCAAAGTTGACGTCCCCGCCCGCCGATCTGGATCACATCGGTCTCGCTCTCGCCCTCGTCGTGCTCCTGGCCGGCCTGTTCCCAAAGTTCCCGGCCGCCTTCCTGCTCCACTGGGGCCGCCACGTTGCCTCGCTGCTCTTGGCTGCTCCTCGGGCTGGCCGTGCCGGCGGGTATCGCCGTCACGTTCTTGACCCAGAAGTAGGTGGCATTCCCCCGGACGTGGAGCTCGAAGTGGAGGCCGCTGGGGTGCCACACATAGCCGCCGTGCCTCGCAAGTTGTGAGTGGAAGCCTTTCCTCATGAGCTTCCCTGCCGAGACCACGGGCTTCACACACGATCTGCTCACCTGGAAGACTCCCTCCACCTGAGCTGTCCTCCCGCACACGGTCTCCACGTCAAACCTCAGCCTCCGCTGGCGACCTTGGCTCAGCACTTCGCCGGCCACGGTCCTCAAAGTGATCGTGCTGTTGTGGTCGTACACGTCCGAGCCTCAGTGGTACGGGCACACGTTCTCATCCGACCCCGAGTCGTAAAGGACGAGCTCCGGTTGCCCGTCCTGGTTCGCGGGGAGCTCCTCCGAGAACTCCGCGCCGATAGCCATGACCCACCGGGGAGAAAGCTCGTACTCCACGGTCTCGCCGTCCTCCTCGTCAGCCGCGAGGTCGTAGTACACCGCCGCCGCGGTCTGGCTGCCGTCCTGCTGCGTGGCTTCCACGGCTGCCGCGGTCTTTCCTCCTCCAGGCTTTCCCTTTCCTCCGCCTTTGCCTTTGGCTGCCTTGGCCCAGCAGTCCTTCCGCTTGTGCCCCCACTTGCCGCAGAAGCCGCACTCGCCTTGAAAGGTGGCCTGGGAAGATTTTCCGGGCGAGCCTGTCGCCCTTCTTGCCTTGGTCTTTGCCCTTGTCTCCCTTCTTGCCCTTGCCCTTGAGGTAGTCGATCGCCCCCACGTCCATGGGCTGTGGCCCGCCTTTGTCCGGGCCCGGCTGGCCCCCAGGTCTGGTCTCACCCATGCTGCCATAAGTGACCCCACTCTGGAGCCAGTCCCTTATGAACTTCTTCACCTTCTTGTAGTGTGTGCCCATGTTGGTGGCGTTGGTCCTCAGGGCACTGCGGAGGGAAGCCGGGGCATACTTCATCAAGATGGCTATCTTGGTCGCCGAGGTGACAATGTCGGTCGCCTGGTCCTGGTACCGGCGGATGAGCACCTCCCAGTTCTCTAAGTCCTCCAGGAACGTGGCCTCGGTGCTCTTTTTCCCAGCTCGGGCTGATGATGCCCATGTGCATGCTGGTGTGCCGGCCTCCCAGGTCGGGCTGGTACGCATCCACCAGGGCCTTCCAGCCCTCAAAGCCATTCTGCTTCTCCACGTTCATCAGGATGCTCAGGGCCTTGCCTTCCACGCTCTGCGCCAAGATGTGGTAGAGCGTCCTTGAGTGAAGCTTGCCGCTTTCGGAGAGCCGTGCCATCCTCATTCCGCCTGCCGGCTGCGCCTCTGCTTCCTCCAGCAGAGAATCAAAGTCATGGCTCAGCACCGTAAAGTAGCTCCTGGCCACAAAGCACCATGTGGCCCAGCTTTCCTCCTTGCCGTCAAAGGAGCGCAGCTTGCCGTAGGCCTTCGTGTCGATAAGCCCTCCCGGCCCCGCTGCCATCGTAGCAGCCGCTGCTTCCGCCGCCGTCGGCGAGCCATCCGCAGCCATGTGCCTAGGCAGGCTTACGAGCCCCTGTGGGGCTCCGCTACCATGAAGCGGTCTGGCACACTTGTTTTCACTCGATCCTTGAAGGGCTGCCGCAGGTCACAGGTGCATATGCCCACATGTTCAAAAATCGCATCAACTTTGAAGAGAGCTGCGAACTACTGCATGCATACGGACACCCATGAACGAGTCTGTTCTCAGGCTTAGGCAGCTGTAAATCGACGAGGAACGTCCCCGTGGGAAGTGTTCATGTCGGGCTTGTATTTGAGTGTACGGAGGTTGCCTGGGCGGTTGCATTCCTCACACGGGCACGCGCCCGGACGAAGTAGCGCAGCACCTCGCCTCAGGGCTCACTGGAAATTGGTTCGGATTAGGTCACATTGTGCTCGCAGTGCGGGAGGGATAGATAGACCGACTAATGGGTGGACGCTACTGAGTTGCTTGCGTTGGCTTTGATCTATATATCAAGTATCAGCCCAAAACCCGAAGCCCTGAACAATCGCTCGGACCCTGGAATCTGGAAGCTCACTCCCTGCTCAGGCCTCGTTCCGCAGGAAAGGCATCCTCTCCGGCAGCGCGCCGGAGCTCTAGCTGCCGCAGCCAGTCCACCTTCCCGTTGCACTGCAATGTGTTGCTATCTGATCTTGCATGTGCATATGTACCTGTGTGTGTGTGTGTGTGTGTCAGTATCTATCAGCATGAGCACACATATGTGCAAATTTTAGCAGTATATGTATACACGTGTGCAGTGCATATACGTGTACGTGTACATGCATGCTCTTGTGTGTGCGCGTGTGGATCTGTACATGTAAATATATATATATATATATATACATATATATATATATATATATATGTATATGTGACGGAGTGTATACGTAGCACACGCAATGAGTCGTAGCAGTGGAAGCCGACAGCAAACAATTGAGCAACCTGCGTGTTCTAGTATAATTTATTGTACTCGTATATCGCGACAATTGAATGGGCTAGACTCGCATGTCTGAAGTGGTGTCAAGTCTTCATTAAACCTTCTGCACCTAATGTGAGGCTATGTGCCTTAGACGAAGAAGCTGAGTGAAAACCAACATCGAATGTGTTCAACTCTAAGTGTACTCTGTCTTTCTTCGGTGTTTCGGGCACCTCTTGAACGTCGCGGCAAAAATCGTCCCAAGTGTCTGCCACGAGCGTAGCCACGTGGACCCTTTCGACACCTAGCAGCAAAGCGGAAATGCACCGCTTCACACTTCACGGAACGAATGCCCTGCTGGACCTGCCAGCAATGATCTTGCATGCCGTTCCCCAGTTGTTTCCATCGGCTTGAATAGTGAATTACCCATCATCCTTATATGATGATAGTGCAAAGGAAACTTGCATGCAGAGTGGTCCAGCTGAAATCCAGCAGGAAATGCGCAGGATATGTCTCATGCTGCTTGCGCTGTCGATGTACACTCCGAGCTGCAGACCTGAATCTATCCTAACGCCTCGAACTCGAAACATCTGCAAGTGTGACCTCCCTCAACACCAAGCCCCTGGGAACACCCAACGTGCTGCACCCTGCAACCTTCCTAGGCCCCTGTGTGCGGACGGCCTCCTAAACCACGGATTCGTGACAGCCACGGGTCAGGTGGTGCAGCCACCAGGAGCTGACGGCTCACGGGACGAGGCGGGCTGGAATTGGACTTTGGAAGCTGCTTGGAAAGGGGTCAGCACGTGCACAGCGTTGCGAGTGTTGTGGCGTTGCGAGTGTTGCGGCTGAGCTTAAGCTCACTGCGGTCGGTCAGGAAGACTCAAGGCTTGTCTGGAAGCGGTTTCACTCAACCGGGCAAACATGCCATGGAGCTGTCTTCAAAGCTGAGCGGTCGGATTAGCTGCAAGGTTCACGCGAGTTGCTGTCAAGCGTGCGAAACGTGGAAGTAGGTGGAAGGGTCTCCAATGCCAAGAAGACAGTCGCTGGATCAGTACAACACAGGTTTTGATCTGGCTGTGGCTATGGGTATGGCAGGCTCAGTGCAAAATCCTGAAAACAAGGCCAACAAGCCAAATTTGCGCTGGTCGCACTTTGCTCAACCTCATCGCTACTCCCACGCACCTTGTGGTGCTCTGGGAGTTGTTTCAGGACCGAGAAACCTGAGTCAGGAGGCAGCACGAAGTCTGTTCGGGCCATGCACATTCCCGACCCGATTCAGGCTTGCTAAATGGGAGTTTCCGAAAATAGGGGATCCTAACATAGTACCCTAAAAAGTAGGATCCGTATTATAAGTACCCCCAAATAAGGTACCCCTATTTTTCGGAAACTCCCAATTCTTCATCTGACATGCTATGGAGCGCAGGAAGTTAGAAGCCGGGCAGGTCGTTAACATGAAGCGAAACATCACAGCAGGGAACAGCTGCAACCAATTCATAACGCATTTCAGGCCATAATATGCTTGACTCGACTGCTTGACTATAATTATGCTACTAAGACACAACAAGTCTCGATTCAAAGCCCGACTCGAGCTGGGCAGCCCAACTCCGACAGCGCCCGCGCGAGCGCTGGGCTTCGGCGTGCCTCTCGGGCATAAGTCACGAAGGCGCTCTCACGGGTGAAGGGCACTGGTTTTCCATGTCACGCCTTCGTGACTTTGACGAGCACTTGTGTCATGGGACGGCGCGATATTGCTTGCGCGTTAAAATCGTAAATCCCATGTAAAGTAGGCTTGTTTGCGGCTCATGTGACCCCAAGTCACGTGTTTCACCATAAACATTTCGCAGCTGCAGAAGGGGACCCACAAGCATTTTGCAACTTAATGCGCATCAGTGTGTCGCACAGGGAGGTTGCGCTGTCCTACACTTGAGAAGTGGCTGCGAAAGCTCCGAGGGGATGAGGCAAGCAAAGAAACCCGCTGGCTCTTCGGATCGTTGCTCTGGCAGGCTCAATCAGGCTGCATCTCCAAACCCAACAAGATGTCAACAAGTTTTGCGGCATGTCCTTTCCAGAGCCCTCCACAGCTTGCAGTAGATGGAATCCCATGTGGCAAAGGGCTGCGGCGTGGTGTCGACGGAACTGCTTGCTCTCGAACGTATTAGTCCAGGTGCTCGCACGATCCAAGCTGAGCCAAAGAGGACCTGCAAAACTGCCCACGCTGTTCGAAAGCTTGATGGACATCTTGTCCATAAACATGCCCAGAAGTTGCCGGCCAGAACGGAGAGCTTCGAGTGTAGGTTTTTCCCTTCGTCGAGGCTTGAATGGGCACAAGCTCGGCATGGCATTCTCTTCGTTCAGCGGTGCTTTTGCAGCTCACCGTCCTCTGTGCAAGGTGTTCCGGCACCCATCAGCTTCCCAGTGGCGCCTTGTGCGAGAGCTCCCCAGTGCCACCTTTGAACCTCGCTTTGCTGTGGGCGTTGGTGTTGATTGCTTTGGCCTTTGGCGGGGCCTTCAAGACTCATCTCACGCTGGTATCTGCGATTTCGAATGCAGGGCCGAGGGTTCGGGGCTTAGCTCTGCTCTCAGGACTTCGGGCTTGCTGACCGGTCAGGGTTTAAACTTCGCAAGCACAACGCAAACAGAAACAAAAAGGTTTTCCAGAATAAGGGAAGCAACATGAGGGCCGTCGTCACGATTTCTGTCAGCTGACTTAAGGTCTTCGGATCCAAGGAGTCCAGGCGCCGCAAGGCTGTCTCCAAGGACTCGGAGTCCTCGGGTCTTCCAGCATTTATAGTATAGTACATTATTACAAGTTGCTACAAACAAAATACTATTACCAGCTTCTGTGCTTCTGATGTGGGACGAGGGGCTGCCACGTGGACCCACGGCAGTGCGGATACGAGCTTTGCGTAGCGCCGCATTCGGGGAGCCTGGACATGGTCTTCAAAAGGGTACTCCCTGCCCAAACCCACCCGTCGTTTGCCTCGACGAAGGCCACACATGTGGCGGAGAGGTCAGAAAAGAAGCCTGGACTCTTCGACAAGCTTCCATGGATAACTCTCACTTCATGGGTGCAGGAAGTTAACCTAGGACAGAGGCTGTTGTCTTCTATCGCGATAGAGACAGTAATTGTCATCATATGTCAGAAGACGCTGAATGCTGAAGGCATCCAAGTAACTCACGTTTTCCATGGTGCCATAGCCTTCCGAGTCGATCGTAAACAGGTTTGTCAAATCTGAAACAAGAATCCTACCGACGTCCGGATAAAAGTTTAACGACCATCTGACAAATCCAGCCGGCTCGGCAGTGCTAAGCCTGCGCAGAAAAAACACAACTTCTGAGCCTTTAAGCTCCCACACACGCAAGGAAAGCAACATGCCCAAGGCATGTCTCTGCCATCTCTCCGGTATACTGCGTCGTCGAAACACGATAATTCATTACTCTTTTTGCTTGGAGCTTGTCTCAAGCTAGGCCGTTAAACTTGAAAACAGTTAAAACTTGACACAAAGAACAGCTGTCCATCAGCTTGTGCATCTGGGAAGCAAGCTTGGGTGGCGTTGCTGACGGCAGTCAGCGCGTCTTGTCTCCTTTGTACCTCGTCATGCTGCTCGGCTTAAGTTAGAAGCGTAAGGCAATCGAACTTCCGAGCTTGTGGTTTCGGCTACGGGTGTCGAGTAGTGCAGCTACTTCCAAAGCAACCCCGAATCTTCAACCAAACCCAGATCAATGCCGCAGCCTTCTGCCTAGCTGCCGGTACCACCAGTGTCATGCGGAAGAGCTCCACTGCGCGGCCAGCTCTCAAAAGCTGCTGGACAGCTTCGCGCATGGCTGGACAGGAGCTTTGCGTTTCAGATTCGCAGACTATGCAGCATTCGAGAGCGATCAGTTGCAGGTATGTTTGTGTACATCGATCTATCTATCTACATTACATATCATATCTACTTACATAAACCCAAGTGACGTCAACACTTAAGAACAGTTCAAGTCCGAACGAAGCTCAAGATGCCGGTTTCAGGTTGATTGTCCTCTCTCTCTGCTCTCGTTGGTCATCGGCAGACAGACATGTACTTCATGCGCTCAAGGATCCACGGTGAAATCTTGGACCTTAGAGAAAGGGCGACGTGTGGACATTTCTCAAAGCCTCCCAAGGAGTAAGGAGCAAGTTCGAGGACTGCGGATTCTTTTGACAGCCGTTCTTCGACCAACTAGAGTAAGGGGCTGATGTAAGCTGAGGTCTTCTGGACGAAGAAGCCGATTTCACAATGGTAGCACACATTTAGAACCGAACGACGGATCTTGCGCTTACACACAGCCCCGCACCTCCCTTGACCGGAGTGTCCACATTTACCTTGCATCCGTGCCTATGGCAGACGGAGCATGCGAAACTAAGCGCCCTGGGCGTCTCGCATTCATTGGGCTCCCGCTGTCTCTGCTATGTCAGGCACAAATCTGAGATTAGTCTCACCTCCCGTCCCCCGGAAAACTCCTCGACGGCAGGACTTAACTCCACCTAGGAATGACCGGTGAAGCCCAAAGGTGCATGGATGCCCTCGCGACGTCATTAACAACTGCTGCGCGTGCATTGCCTTTGATGGGTTCCTCATGCCGACGAGGTTTTGCACTGCTCGAAATAGCTGCACAAGTTTGCCCAAGTGGTGCACATTCTCGGGATGCTGCCAAGTACGCGATGAAGCCTGCAAAGAACTCCAACGTGCCCAACATGATGTGATATGCCTACAACTCAAGGGCACCAAAGGACAAGAATATTGTTGAGCCAAACGAGTCTCATCGTTTAAAGCATCAAAAGCAGCAATGCTCCATCAATGAAGCAGCCCTACAGAGTGCTTCAGAGGCGGGCCGAACTCAGCGAGGATCCTTGGCGGCTGCCTGCCAACATGCCCAACGTGATAACATAAAACTGCTGGCCAATGTACGGATTCGGTTGAAGATGTGGGAGAACACACCCACCATCACTTCATCGAGCCTCCGAAGCTGGAAGGAGATGAAAGATGGAAGCAAAGCTCGACAGTTCAAGCTGCCGCCTAGAAGTGCAGCATGTCGTCATCCTGAGTCCCGCCGGCAGGACTTACCTTCGAGCGTTTCGATGGTGACTCCGGGAAGTGGCTCAGATCAGAGCTGAAAGTGTCGGCTAACTTGGTATCACCGTTGGAGGTTGCTCAACGTCACGTTCATACTTGCTGTCGGTTGCAGTATCACTGTCATTCCCTGCCTCCATTCTGTTCCGTCATGCCAACAGTGGTTGCTGATCGTCTCCCTTTTCAAGCTACTTTCGGAGTTAGGTGCCTGATGTCTTCGACCGCAATCGGGCGGTTGGGCACAGCAAATGCAACTGCTACACCGCTTCGGCGACTAAGTACTACTGCTACTACTGCCGCTGCTGCTGCTGCTGCTTCCTACTTCTTCTACTTCTACTTCTACTTCTACTTCTACTTCTACTTCTACTTCTACTTCTACTTCTACTTCTACTTCTACTTCTACTTCTACTTCTACTTACTACTACTACTACTACTACTACTACTACTACTACTACTACTACTACTACTACTACTACTACTACTACTACTACTACTACTACTACTACTACTACTACTACTACTACTACTACTACTACTACTACTACTAGTTACCACCACTACTACTGTCACTCCTTCTCCAACTACTACCACCACCGCCACCACTACGAAAGCTACTACCATAATACGACTGCTCCTGCGACTGCCACCGCCGCGACTTCCAAGACCGACAACTGCCATTCCTACTCTACCAGCCCCTTAGAGCCAAACAAAACTAATCCTACAATGATTATGGAACCTGGTTCGCAGGAAATACCCAGTGTCTATATCTCTGCTTCACCACCTGCACGTCCTCCTCCCTGACTGCATGATCTGATGGCATCGCCGTTCTCCCTGATCCCAAACCCTGCACAAGATCTGAGCTTCTGGCATGCTGAATCGAGGCCGGACTGGTCTCCTGTGGCACGGACCCTCTCTGCTCAAGTAAAGGAGCGAAGAGCGAAGTCTGGTCTGCCACAGCCGCGCTTCCACTAGAACACGCATGAATTTGTCTCTCTTGGACTCCCCACCAGACGCAGGGTGGGTGACGTGGAGCCACGGGAGTCCCGGGAATCCAAGCGCTTGCGGGTCTTGCCTTCCCAGAGAACGGCTGCAGGAGCTGAGTGAAAGTCGGGGGCAGTCAAACCCTACCATGACTCAGAGTACTTGTACCTGTTTCTGGTACCAGAGTTCAAACCAGGAGTCTTCATTGACGGCTGTGTACTAGACTCACCCAATTCAGTGAGCTATGCAGTAGTAGAGCAAACCGTGCAAGAGCACTTATGCCTTATGTGACTGAAAGACTGTTGCGAAGCTGGCCAAACAGCATAGTAGAATTCGTGACAGGAGCGTGTCGGCACGAAGACCCGTTCATGCTCTTTTCATGTCGGGGGACTGCGTGGTCCAGCAGCTGGGATGTCCGCTCGCAGCGAACAGTGAAAACTTGCTTGCATGTGCCTGAGCAGAAGCCGCCGCAATCTGACAAGGCCTCAGCAATGCAGAGGGAACAGTTGATGGATCTTTGACGATTGCTACTGAGACATGGTTTAGGAAGGTACCAGTCTGCACATTACCCGACACCCCAGGATCATTTCCACGAGGGCTGCTTACAAAGCCTCCTGGGAGTTGGTGCAAACACTCTGTATCCAACTCGATTGCAGGAGTGCTAGACTGCAATTGCATACTAGTGTGATCGTACAGGACTAGGAGTTCTGCTGATTTTGAATCATACGACAATCGTCGTGGTCATGTCACTAACAGTGTTGGAAAGCTCGATGCTCTTTCGCTTGAACACGAACAAGGTCTTCCCTCCTAGCTGTACACATGCAGAAGCTTCAAAAGCCCAGAACCCCAAGCAGAAGTACTGCAATATTCAAGACGGAAGCTGATTCTCTTCGCCGGAACCGTCTCTACAATGGTTCAGCGATTGGGCGATTCGACGGATTCACTACAGCCAAGGGGCCTTTGCCAAGACCTCGGAGGGCACCATGCCCAGCTGACACCCCGTAATTGCCAGCCTGCTCGACACGGTTTGGGCTGGAGGGCTTGGGCCTCGGCGTTTAGCGTTGCTTTTTTCAGGCAAGATTCGGGGACTGCTAATTGATTACGAGGTGGATGCTGCGAGACGTGTCGTGGAGAGGATCAGCTCTGTGATTTCAGAGGCAATAAGCATACTTTCTCTACGAAGATGACGACTTGCAAGATGCGTGACACCAGACGTCTGACGTCTTGCTTTCGGTGTTAAACATGTCTCTCCTGAATGGCCTGAGCGTTCAGGATTCGTTGAGCGAGATTCCCGTTTCATGCTCGTCTGGCCTGTACCACATCGTCCGAAGCCTTCGGCACTTCGAGAGCCGAACGACCTGAGTGGTTCTTCTGACAGGGGAAGCGCCGCAGGACTCCCTGCCTTGCGCCACAAACAGCTTTAGAGACTCATGCAGCGGTCTCGAAAACGAGAGCTCAGGGTTGTGTGAGGTTCAACACGGGGAGTGAAACTCGGGCAGACCAGCCAAAAGGTGGATGTGCTTCTCAGGAGGGTCTAGAACCACCCTGGGGTGTCCCATGCCGCATGCCCATACCATGCCATACCTCAGAGAAACCATAGAGATCAAGCTGGAAATCCGAGCGGCGATTGTGGGGTCCGTCCCACGGTCAGGATGGCGGGAGCTCTTCGAGTCCTCAGCTTCTGCAGAGTTTGCGAATCGCCCTGGCCTAAGGCTAGCAGCGGCGCAGAAGGCGCTGAGGCGCTGGCGGGAGACGACAGGCCTTTCGGAGAGAGGTCCACCTGCGACGGGCGCGCAAACACTCTCGGAATTTACATTTTTCCTGTTTTCGTCCGTTTTCCCTCTCTCTCCCTCTCTTTCCCAAAGCGTGTCTGAAGAACATTCAGCTCTCCCTGATTCAGGGCGTGGAGCTTCCTGGGCTGCATCCAAGGGGCAGGGGAGAGGTCGTGGGACCGATCTTGGTGTCGGCAACTGCGTGAGTCCTGCGGAAGAAATGTCTGGTGTTAGACTGTCGCAGACATCTGGCGACACTGAGTGCAAGTATGTACAAGTATGAGGATATCAACCCTCTACCGGTTGCGAGTTGAAGCGACGGCGTTTTTCTGACCTGTCATCCGCACGAAATTCCACCAAGCATCACAATATTCCGACAGCATGGATTCAGGAGCCCCCGGCAAAGAGAAATTCCACCCAGCCCTTTTTGCAATGCCTCCTCTGCAGGGCTGGGAACTGCTCGTGGCTTAGAGGCCTCGAACAGGCGGCTCACCGTCACGGCTCACGGCTACCCAGTAGGTTGCATCCAACATGCGAAGGTAGTTTCTGTCGTGGGGGAGTCAGGAGTGTAACGACACAAGTAAAGGGCTCCAACCTTCAAAAGTCTTGGCCAGCAGTGCGCATCTGGATATGGGCTTTGCTAGCTCTCCAGTCGACCGCACCTCGAGCCATAGTGCTTTGTGATGTGAATTCTGGAGCGCTGCATTGCTCTCTCTTGTTTTTCCACCCTACGCCGAAATCCGAAAACGGCACAATGCAGTAGGCTCTCTATCATCCGTCATCCATGATCCGAGAAGCCCTTTCTCGTATTAGTCGTGTGCACCAAGCCTTCAACATCCAATACTCTTCGACCTCCGCCAAGTAATGCAGCACCTGCCAAGCAGCGTTGCAACTCGACTTGGTTGTTCGCAGGTGTGAATCTCTCGTGTGTGCAGCGCTTCATCATGCAGAAGCCCAACCCCTGGAACATCCTGGAACTGTCGCACTTTCTGATCCCTCTTTCCTCCGCCTCAGCCACCTCAACAATTAACCCCCACAAAACCGCCGCACATCCGGCCGGCCCCGGTCGCACCCGGATCATGAGGCGATCCATGCCAGTGGCGGGGGACTGCTCCAGAAGAGCGGCCCGCAGACCCTCCTGGAGCTGCGCGGCTGGGCTTCGCTGAGGCTCAGGGCTCTCATGACAGGGGAGCTTCTGCAGAATTTTGTTTGTCAGAATTCGTGCTGAGACCAGGATGAAGAGCAGCTGAATCTCTCTAGAGATGTCACGCCTCAACCCTCTGCAGTTCACGGGTGCGACCGTCACTGGGTTATGATTGGCCTCTTCATCGCCAGCCAACATCACTACGTTGGCCCTGCATGTTCAGTGATCCTTCTTCTGAGTCTCTGCTTTTTTGCTTCAGGCCTAGGCCTAGGCCTAGACAAGATGTGCTCCTGCTGCTGCCCTCCGGCTTCCCCCTCTTGCCCTGGATCTGAAGCAACATCTGAGGCTACAAGCAGCAGGGCCTCCCAGTTGCAGACCACGCCCTCTGGGATGCCCAGCAAGGGGCAATACTCCTTCCACTATTTTCGCAGAGTCCGGTCTTGCGGATCACAAGCCCAAGCCAGTATAGATGATAGGAGAAGTTGCCGTGAAAGCACACATGGCCTTCATGGCCACACGCAGGATCTCATGCTCCTCGATGAAATTGCCGGTAGCCTCGACAAATGGCAGGAACTTCGGGACTGAATCTCGTCAAGCTTCGCGAACCCCGAAGCAACACCGTGACATACTCCAATAGCTTTAGGCATGAGGGCGTCTGGAGAGGCTTTGCAAACACTCGTCCAGAGGCGCGGCAAAAAGTAGAAGTAGAAGTTCATCCTTACCTTGCCACACCAAGTCTTCAACGACGAAATCTACCCTTGTGAAGACCTTATACCCGACAACAATAGGCCCTGACGTGCTTGTCAGCGTCGCGGAATGCACCGACAGAGCAGACAGTGACCGACGTTTTGTTCCAACATTTCTGGTTCATGCCTGCCGCAAGCAAGTATTGCGATTCAGACTCAGCAGGACTGCTTACTGGACTCGGACGTTTGGCTCAGCGGCCCCAGCACAGAATTACGAACAGCTTGGCCAAACGTGGCTGTTGCAGGTAGCCTACATGGTTCTTCGTTTCGGGTCCTTCTGCAGGTGCCGCAAATGCTTTTGTTGGAGATCGTAGAAGAAGCCTTATAGAGCTGACACAGTGGCACAAGTTGGGATGAAGAGACGCACCCGCTTGGCAGCTTCTCTAAGCATCATGCCCCAGTCGCTCTGCGCTGCCCGAACATCCTGATAAAGCCTCGAAGCCCCGTAAATGCCCAAGGCCGCCCTCCCTTCCATCCTTCTGGGACAAGTCAGCAAAGCCCTACGTTGCCCCGAAGTAGAACTCACAATATGTCCTGGCGGAGCCTTTGCGAACCGTGCAGTCCGCTCGGCGTGGCGGAGTGGTGCGCCCTGGGTGCAGGTACAAAGAGGCTCGCTGGGAGGTACCGGACACGCGGAAAGAAGTTGAAACGAAAAGATGCAAAGGCCGGAACACGACCAGCTGGAAACTGAGTCCCAAGGTCTGCACATGCTTCCCGGCAGACCGATCGCTCTTCAGCTCCTCCCTGTCGGATCCGGGGGCTCCGAAGGGGCTTTGATTTTGCTGTTGGAGGGCTTTGTGGTCTGGTTCGCTTCGAACAGCAATCGCAGCGAAGCTTTCGAGGAGCCCTCTGCAAGATCACTGCGCATCTCTGGAGAGTCTAGTACCACAGTACCGTTATTTGGGCATGGGATTCGGCTGTGATCGGCGGAAGGACCGTCGCGGCGTGGCACCTCCGCTTGGCATCCTTCATGAGCCTGTTGTACTCCTGACAGCTCTGGGATCTTCTGGGAGCTCTTCCGCTTCGCAGGACACGCAGGAGCACGCGGCTCCTGACCAAAAGTCGCCCCGACCACGAAGAGTGGGAGGCCCAAGATGACGGTGCCGTAGAGCATGGCCACCTAAGGCTTCCGACTTCTGAGTGCCCTGACCTCGTCCAGACCAGTACGAATGCTTTACGTAGCTACGTAGCGGTGTGTCAAGCTTCGGTGCAGGGAAGCTCTGGCACAAGAGCAAACCCTCGTTCATGCAGCCACAGCTTCCGTTTGGGCATCCTTGCACTATGAACAATCCAAACGCGTACAGCGGTTCGCCGGTTATGACACACTCCTACATGATTGCTGTGTCTAGCGGCTAGGGTACCATATACACTGCAGAGTCGGGCCACTTACGTGCCCAGCGACGAACGACCACACTGTAGTCTCGACCCCTTCCGAACCAGAGCCTCTGAGACCCTAAGGCGCAGACAGAGCCCACGGTCTTTCCGACCCAAGAGGTCGGAACCTGCAAAGCAGGCAGGGCGGACGCAGTGGTTCGGAGGCGGGTTGTAAGATGCGTCATTGCCCCAGGCAGAAGAAGGCAAGGCCGGCAGGACATGATTCTTTGTCACTTCGCGCTCCGCTAATGCACCACCAATATAGCCTCCGGCTTGCGTCTTCAGCTCCGATAACCCTGGCTAGTGTGTTACACGTAAATGACGGGGAGGCGTGAATGGCCGTAATCTTCCTCTCAAGGCTGTCACAGGACAAGGTAGATGGACGCCACGCATGGTGCCCTGGCTGTTGCTGGGATCGCGTTAGGCTGGTGGTCAAGACCTTCCGCGAATCCTCGTACCGAACCTTTCGTCTGTCAGTGCCACTGTGCGGGAACCACAACATCTGACAGGAGTGATCCGCCTACTAGTGTTTGGTGGTTCGCCCTAGTTCTTGGGCTGCTGCTGGTCGGGACGAACCTGGCCTTAGTGCTGAAGGTATCTTATCAACAGTCGGAGGGCGGCGGGAGAGAGCTCTCGTTGTCCCTTAAGGGCAGACCTGGAAAAGGAGTGTTCGGAGCATCCAAGGGGGTCCAAGTGCTAGATCAATAGGATGAATCCTGGAGATGTGGCATATGTCCAGTATCATGCAGACCCAGGAGTTTTCCATACTCGGTTGCTGGCTGCAGATCTTGGCCATGATGAATGGATGATCGTGACGCCGGACAGGGACATTTATCCGGAGATCCTCTCTTTGAACAATCCCGATTTCTCCAGGTTCTACCATGCCCCTGACGGTCGAGTGCCAAGGCAGGTGCCAGTCCGGCAGGTGTATGCGTTTGCTCCAATGGATGCGCGGCAATATGGGGACCTACTCAGGCTGGGCCGTCAGGAAGCCCAGGCCGAGTTGGCACGACGAGGTCTTCCTGCTCCTGCTGCGGTCGGTGCTCCTCCAGCTCCTGTACCGGGAGGCGCCCCTGGATTGGTTCAAATCCAAGCTGGTGCCATGCCTGCTGTCGCGGGTCTGGCAGCTCCTGCAGCACCGGGAGCTACCACCTGGATCGCTCTTGAAGATGGAGGGCCGCACAAGAAAGGGGATGTCATTGCTGTAGACCCGGGTCCCCTCCCGGTGGGACACGTTGTGATGGGGGACCATGCTTTGATCCCGGCGGGTGGCGGAGTGATTGCGCTGAAGAAGGTTGTGGCCGATCAGGTCGCAGCGGCAAAGTTCGATGATCTGCGGGTTCTTCCGGTCCAATTTGATGCGCAAGGCATTCGGCGCAGAGAATTCAACGTTGCCATTTCGATGCTTCATGACACCATCCCGCAAGGGGGAGGACTGCAGCTACAGGGACCTTCGACCCTCCTCAACGTTCTCAAGATGATGCGGGATCAGAACTTCACACCCACGACATTTCATGAGTTCTGGGTGAGATCCTCGGAGCTTTCGAAGGGGGATCGGTCCGTGTTTGAACACGAGTGCCTATCGCGCATTCTGGAGGCCATGATCTCCATCGACCAGCTCAACGCGCCGTGCTTGCAATCTGCAGAACTCTTGGTGCGCAGGATGCAGGTTATCAGGGAGGCACATCGTATCTCGCCCTCTGCTCCGGACTATTCGTCGGCCGACATCATGATGGGCTGGAAGTATCGCCGTTCAGGACAAGGCGTTGACTCCAGCCTTGCGGCCCACGTTGCGGCCGAGCTCAAGAATGAAGCTGCCATCGCGAAGGAGGCCCGGAAAGCTAGGGAGGAAGCCGATCTTCGCCGCCGAAACCCTCGAAAGCCCGGCAAGGACAACGAGGGTGGAGGCGGCAAAGGGTCATGAGCAATGTGCGGGCGGCCGTTGAGGCCACGACCGCCCGGAAGAACGTCGACGGCCTCATCATGCCAAGCTCTTCCGGCTTGGCCAATTCTTCGAATCACCCTTCAGCTGGCACGTTCTCTGGAGGCTCTTTTGGTTTTGGTGGGACAGACAGGCAAAGAGACCTTTTTCCTATGCCCATGATCCCTCTGAGACGGTGTTCGGGAGTGTATTCCAGTACTTCTCAGAGACGGCGCGCTGCCAAGTTCAATCGCAAGGTGGTTGCGGCCAACAATGTTTTGGGCTGCCTCAATGAGATGTATTGCCAGGCGGGGTCACATGCATGTTGCAATCAGGGTCCCAATGCTGCTCAGTACGAGGCACAGCGTCAAGTGCTCCAGCAGTGTGACCACATTTCGTCAAAGATTCCTATGTATAGTGAGCGTGAGGCGGCATCATCGCTTCTGCACTCTTGCCTCTCGTACTCCGAGGAGGCCCACACCACTGTCCGTCCGTTCAACTCTGACCTCGTGTCCCTGCCTCGGGTGGGATCTAGCCCTCCCCCGCTCCAGGATCTGGTGGACCCTTTCGGTCATGAAATTTTGAAGGACCCGGTGGGAAACATGATGATCAGCCCCGAGGCTTGGGGCCAGAAGGTTGAGTGTGGCAGATTGGTGAAGCCGTACATGGATGTGGTGCTCAAACATGACCCCGCCAAGTACGTCCAGTTTGTACACACCTTGTATCTAGGCGGTATGATTGGCTTCACCGACCAACCGAAGGATTTGATGACGCCCTTCTTCGTTGCAAAGAAGTCTGGGAAGCTCAGGCTTGTCTTGGATTGTCGGGGCATCAATCAACGATTCAAGGACCCCCCGGCGATGTCACTGGCTGCAGGCTCATCCTGGGCACAAGTGGAGCTCGAGGGCGACCAGAAGCTGTACATCGCTCAGAGTGACATCACAGACTACTTTTACTCTCTTGAGATGCCCGAGCAGCTGCAAACCTACTTCTGCCTCCCTGCAATCCCCTCCGAGGCCTTGGACGTGTGGGATGTCGACCCAAAGTTGAGGCCTCGGCATGATCGTGAAGGTTCTGTCTTCCCCTATTTTAGAGTGGTTCCGATGGGCTGGAGCTGGGCCATGTACTGGACCCAAAGAGTGCATCAGACCCAGGCGCTCATTGGCTCGGGTCTCTCCGAAGATCGACTTCTGGTTGCCGATCGTCCGGCTCCTACTCTTCGTGATGGCCAGCCGCTTGTAATCGCATACGCAGATAACTTGAATATCGCCGGCACCAACCCGGAAAGAGTGCAACAAGCCAAAGACGGCGCCGTGGCCCGATTGAGGTCACTCGGTTTTGGTGTTCATGAAGAGTTGGACGCATGCTCCTCGGCAGCCTCACTCGGCTTCTTCATTGACGGCAATGCAGGAACAGTCACTCCAATCCCAGAGAAAGTCGGTCGGATCATTGCTGCATTCAGGTGGCTTGGTCGACGACCCCGGGTCAATGGCAAGGCTGTCGAGAAGTTGGTCGGGCACGCAGTTCACTTCATGCTCGTGCGTAGGGAGCTCTTATCGTGTATGAGAAGCCTCTATGACTTCATTCAAAGCAACTATTCGCGACGTGTCAGGCTATGGTCTTCGGCGGCCCGTGAGGCTACCTGGATATGCAATCTTCTCCCCGTGTGTCATGCTAATCTGCGTAGGGCTTGGGCCTCGGACATCACTGCATCGGATGCCTCTTTATCGGGGATTTCAGTATCCACAAGGGTAGCAGACAGGGAGAAGATTGCCGAGATCGGTAGACAGCATGAGGGGTGGAGGTTCAGAGGAAGAGATTTTGTTCCGCCTCGTGAAAAAGCGCTGGGTCCTGATCCTGGCGCCGACCCATTCTCTGACCCAAGTACTGTCATGCCGGTCCAGCCTTTGATCGACGATCCGTTTGTTGTGAACTATGACTTCAAAGAGATTGAGGCTGAGTTTATGCGCGGGGACATGTGGTCGCATGTGTTCGCTGCTCCCATGCTCCATGCAGAACCCATCACAGTATTAGAGGCGAGAGGGGTTATTGCGGCCATCAGACATAAGTGTCGTTCTTCTCTCAATTTCAACAAGAGACATGTGCATATCAATGACAATCTTGCCAATGTTCTCTGTGCCGAGAAGGGTCGCTCAGCATCTTACCCCATGCTCCGGGCGTGCCGCAGAGCTTGCGCCCTTTTAGTGGCATCGAACTGTGTGTTTCATCACCGTTGGGTCCCAAGCGAGCTCAATCCTGCGGACCATGGCTCGAGGCAGTGGGAGCACCTACGCAAGCAGGGCAAAATCCAGCAAGGGTCGCAGGCAGTCCCGATTCGAGACTGCAGGCGAGCCGAACTTGGCAGGCTTGGAGATTCCCTCCCTACGACCTGCCAAAGATCAACATCAACCCGAGATGGGAGCCAATCGAGCAACTATCCGCAGGTCCCTCCAAGCCGCAACGAAGGAGGAGCGCTCATCGAAAAGGCAGCGACTGGTGAATGGCTCCGAGGCTCCCCGCTTCAAGGGCCAGACCTTCCTGGAGCAGGCAGCAGTTTCGGGTTCAGTCGCCACGGATTATGCCAATCGAACCAGGAGGTTCATGGAGGCCTCTCGAATCAAGGACATCAGAGAAGTCTCCGAGGTGAGGTTGGACGAGTGTTTGAGCATCTTTCTCAACAATTTGTTCGAGGCCGGAGCAGACGTCTCAGAAGGAAACAAGACTTTCGCAGCAATTCTGGATGCTCGGTCCGGCTTTTCCTCTCCGACGACACTGGGAAGATCAAAAAGATGCTTGAAGGGTTGGGCAAATCTGGATCCAGGAAAGACTCGACCTCCAATCCCTTTTGCGGTCATCGCCCTGATTGTCACCAACATGCTTCTGCTCGGCATGGGAGAAGCGGCTCTGTTGGTGCTGCTCATGTTCAGCGCCTATCTACGCCCGGGGGAAGCCCTGGGCCTCGCAGTGGCGGATCTTGTCAATCCGACCAAAACCGTGCGCCACTACTCGCTGAACCTATGCCCCTCAGAACGCATGGAGTCGAGCAAAACGGGCTTGGCCGACGAATGCATTCTTCTGGACTCGTCAGTCCTGCCGTTCTTGGGCCTGATGGTGAGTCGTTTGGCAAAGATGCGAAAAGGCCAATCCCTCTTCAGCATCGATTACCCGACCCTGTACGATCAATGGCAACAGGCCCTTCAACGAAGCGGGTTACCTCGCCACCATGCTGTTCTCTACCAGTTGCGACACTCGGGCCCGAGTCACGACAGACTCCTCAACCTGCGCTCTGCCTTGGAAGTCAAACTACGAGGCAGGTGGGCAAGCGACTCCAGCCTCAAACGCTACGAGGCTCACAGCAGGTTGGCGCTAGAGTTCCAGAATCTCCCCGCTTCTGTTCAAACCAATGCCCTGGCAGCCGAAAAATCTCTTGGCCGGATGATGGCAAACTTTTCTTTTCGGCAGTGAATCCCCAATCGCCCTGGGTCGTTGAGATCTTCTCGGGAAGTGCACGCCTGTCCAGGGCATGTCATGGTGAAGGGTTCAACTGTGCTGCCTTGGACATTGCGTATGGGCCCCAATGTGATGTCCTTCGTATTTCGGTGCAGCAAAAGCTTTTCAGCTTTCTCCGTGAGCAGAACATCGCTCTGGTCTGGTTTGGCATGCCCTACGCCTCCTGGTCTCGGGCCCGCCAGCTCGGTGGTATTGAACCGCCTCCAATGAGGGATGACGGCAACTTCCTGTGGGGTCGTCCTCACCTCTCGCGTAAGGACCAGAAGCAAGTTCGCGATGCGAACACTCTGCTCACCGTGACCTGCCAAATCATTCAGTGGTGCCAGAAATTCCAAATTCCATGGGTCCTGGAGAACCCCCGCTCCTCGAGGATATGGCTGACGAATCCGATACAGTCATTAGCAGCAACGTCCTCGTGGTTGAGGCTCGACTATTGTCAGTATCGTGAGCCCTGGCAGAGGCCCACCACCTTGCTCGCTCACCCGGCAGCTTGGATTCAACTGGTGTGCAGATGCTGCGCTCCCAAGGACAATCGATGCTCAGCTTCAGGGCGTCGCCACCTTCGATTAGCGGGATGTGACGAATCAGGCTACTCGCTGACTCGCCGAGCCCAGCCCTACCCGCGGAGGCTCTGCGCTGCCATCGCCTCCTCCCTGAAAGCGCGCTCCACGTCAGCGGATATGGGGAGGATGGAGCATGCTGGATGATCTTTCAGTTCCCCTCCAGAGCCATACGGCTCAGGATGGCTTTCACTCAGCACGCAGCTCTTGCAGAGCATCTGTAAAAAGTGTGAAGTGCGATGCCTTGTACTCTGGCCATGTCAGCCTGGGTCATGGCTAGTGTGTTACACGTAAATGACGGGGAGGCGTGAATGGCCGTAATCTTCCTCTCAAGGCTGTCACAGGACCGCCACCCTCCCCAGCCTCCTCTGCTGGATGATCTTTCAGTTCCCCTCCAGAGCCATACGGCTCAGGATGGCTTTCACTCAGCACGCAGCTCTTGCAGAGCATCTGTAAAAAGTGTGAAGTGCGATGCCTTGTACTCTGGCCATGTCAGCCTGGGTCATCCTCTTGAGAACTCCGAGGGCAGCAACAAGGCCTGGTCGCCATAGCCAACAGTTGTGATGGTGACGATGGTCCTGAGATTTGCAGGGCCATGCTCGCTGAGGATTACAAGCCTCACGAACTGCGATACTGCATATTCTGAACGAGGGCAGTGATAGACTCTGCAGGTAACTCCCTAGCCATGATAAACAGGACGGAAACTTCTGATCAGCTAGCCATCGGAACTTCGCCTAGCGAGAGAGAGAGAGAGAGAGAGAGAGAGAGAGAGAGAGAGAGAGAGAGAGAGAGAGAGAGAGAGCGAGCCGAAAACCCAGCAAGCAGTCGCTGTCAGCCGGGCTCTTACCACGGCGGCTCAATCTTTGCTAATCTCAGTTCTCGCTTGCTCCACATGAGAACTGACGTTGTAGTGCCTGCTGTGTGTAAATGAACTTATTTGCAGCAAGATTCCACCAGAAGGCCCCAGGAATGGATGTAAACGGACCTCGGCGGACGGTGTTCAGTTGAGCAGACATGCGGACAGTTTACCATTACTAGATTACTAGAATTACGAGAGCGGATGAATCTGAAACATTATGAAACATCTGCCGCAAAGTGAGGACAAGATCTGGCTCAACTTGGATTGGCAGGTCCCAGACCCCATATGCTGCAACAAGCGGCTGAAGCCGATAAATTCCCACTTACATTGCATCGAGTTCGCTGAGCTCCTCGGTGAAGCCGTCTGCTGCAACTCGTAACCATGCACCTGGTGAGAAATGACGGTGGAAGGGGAGATGACGGATTCGGGCTTGGTCTGGAGAACATGCAGCGCTGTGAGCTTCATGCTGCAGGGAGGCCCTGAGAATGACAGGCTGTTTTGGGACCACACCTGCCGCACCTGCCCTTGCTTCGCTGAGAGTTTCGCTGAGTGCAACACTGCTTTCGTGGAATGGAGATTCGTAGAAGCGAGCTTACCCACTGAAAACTGCTATGCGTTGTCAATCGCGCTGGAGCGAAATGCAATCTCCGCTGTGCTAGATGTGACTTGTGAAACGGGTGGTGCCTGCTTCCGAGCCACGATCTCCGATGACCAACGCCTCCAATCCAAGAGCTGTGGGCATGAGCGGCCAAGTTAAGTAAACGGATAATCACAGCATTATTTTGCACTTAGAGTGACCCTATTGAGAGACAGGCGACATGACTGTATCTTTGAACGGTTCGATTGCACCCTGTCGCTACGACCGTGCGTCCGCATCTCAACCAGCAGTCACAAGCTCACTACAAGAAATAAGCCTGACCACACTCAGATGAATCCCCAGAGAAGCCCTACACAGCCCAATGAAACACTCAACGAGAAACCCATGAACGTACGAAGCCCACTCAGGCTGCGAGCGAGCAGCCTGGTATCGGGGCGAGTCTTTGCCAACCCACTCCCCACGCTCGCAGAACCTTAGCCAAACCCAGGGCTGTTTGTGTTTGAGGAAGTCGAAAGCCCGGCCCCAAACCATCCAAACCTCAGACGACCCAGCTTTCAAAACGGACCCACACACACCCTAAATCAAAATCCTTGACATCACTCAAACCCTGATCATGAAATATCGAATTTGCCTCAGCCACACAGTCGAAGCTCCAACCATAGCCCGGCCCTCTCGCATGAAGAAGCCGCACGCAGAACTTCAGAGTTGAGGAAAGCAGAGGTTCCAGGAGCGGCTTAGAGCTGACGGCACTCCCAGGAGACCCAGAGTTGATGAGATCCTCCGCAGGAAAATTGAAACCCACCCACCCGCACAAACAGACACTCACAGCCTGCTTTCTACCTTGTTCCGCATGATGCCCACATTGTTCTCGCAACATTAATTACTTGGGAACCGAGCGAGAACAGTTAACCTGTTTGGAGGCTCCAACTGTGCTTTGAAAAGAGGAAGTGCTCATTCCGTTTGCCAGGACATTTGTTGGCCGATGCACTGAGTGTCTCTTTGGCGCAAGATCAGGCATGAAGGGAGTTACAGCCTCAGCTGTGAGTATGCGCTCGCCCGTCTGGGGATCGCACCAGATGAAAGTGCCGAAGAAGAACAAAGCAATCACGATGAGCAGTACCTCACGTCTTGTGCCAGCTGATACGCTTCCGGGGCACAGAAGGACATCTGTCAGCCAGCGTGTTTTGTGACTTCCAAAGTTCTCAAGTCCAGAAGTCCTGTGGTGAGCTTAATCGGGGAACCATCCCCACCGAGTGTGCATATGATAATAAAAGTATCATGTACCCCCAAACCCTATTCTAATTCTTGCAGGCCCCCTATATTATGCAAGGTATAGCTATGGCCAACAGCCGGCAGGGCACGGTCATCAGAATCGCTGGAGCGGCGTTCGCCAACACCTTCACGAGATCCAGTCGCAGGAACCGATCAGTGAATTACTGTAGCAGGATGTAGCAGGTATATTCAGGGTTACGTTCTGAATTTTTTAGGGCTTCAATATGGCTTTATTAAAGGTTACTATAGGATTATGTGGGTTTTGTATAGTTTTATTCAGGGTAACTATAGGATTATTTTCGGGATTTACATGCTTCTATTATAAGGGTTACTTTTGGTGTGGTGGGATCTTCTCTGTACACGGGAGCAAGAAGGGAGTTAAAACTGTTGTCCATCTGATGCTTTTCAACAGCCAAGAACTCAATCGTTCAACGACCCATGTGAAAAACAGCCGGACGCGATGCCTAAACCCAAAAGATCCCCTTAAGGAACTATAGATTCCTTTAAGGAACCCAACAAGCCTTCTTGAAGAGGTCGTTGATCTCATTGAACCTGGTTCAGCAGACCGCAAACAGGCTTACGTATGCCTCGAGGCTGATATCTGTGGTCAAGATTCGAGCACACAAAAGACGGCCTAGCATCATGCTTAATCCATGTGCTACCACCAGGGCCATTGGTCATCCGACATTCACAACAACTGCCCTGCCGAGCTCGCGGCTGTCCGAGGTCCGCATTCAAGGCGCGGGTCAGCTTGAAGAGCCGCACGACCCGGGTCTGCCAGAAGTCGGGGTGCACTGACTTCCTAGACTTCACCTTCAAACCACCAGGTTCCTTGCAGGTCGATAAAGAAACACGACTGAGGACTCGTCGCTACAGCCCTCGACTGAGGACGCCGCGATGTACAGGACACGAAGAAGGGACAGCTCTGCGACCTCGCAAAAAGGCTTCGGACGCTTTGACAACTAGTCTGGCTCTACTCGGCCGAGACGAAAGGTCCACCCTCAGAAACTGCGTCCTAACAAGCTGTGTCCATGTGATAGGATTGGAGGCTTTTCGGCGTTCGACATGGGCAGATTCTCCATGTTTGGGCTTGGAAACATAAATGCAACAGGAAGGCACGTAACAGCTTTGCCACGTCCTCGGACTTTCGACTAACTGGCATGGAAATGTCGAACACCGCCCTCTGAATCATCTGCAAAGCTGATCTGGAGCCCAGCCCGGTCACAAGCTCTCTGCATGCATAAGCTGTGTCAAGACGGACTGGGGAATAGGCCGAAGTACCCTGAGTTGGCTGTAGGATGAGTTCGACCTGAGCGACGAGCAAATCTGCACGCTTTTGCTCAGGACATTGAAGCAGGCTGTCTTCAAGAGGTCTGTGTTGTTGATGTGCTGCCGTCGCTACTGCTGTTGTTGTTGGTGGTGGTGGGTCTTGCTATTGGGAGTAGCTGTGGCGTGGCCACAGTCGTGGTAGTGTTCTTCAAGCTGTGATGCTGCTTTCAAGCACCGCCTGGAGCTGTCTGGAAAGTCCCTTGCAGAATGTGCCCCGAACATGTCGGCATGGAAGGCAAACATCTTCCTTCAACCACGAGGGTCCCACCCAGAAAGGTATGACGGAGAGAACGTCACAAATGGCCTCCAGGCACGAGGGTCAGCGCATGTCCATGTCATTGTAGCCTTTAATGTGTATGTATGCATATAATGCATCGATACCAACGTATGTACACACATGTGTATATGTAGTATATAGGTACGTAGATGTACGTATATATAAATTTCACACCATATCTAGTATGCATATGTGTATATATATATATATAAATACAGACATACATACCACTGCTAACTAGATGCAGATGAATACAGCAATATGAACAAACAATACAAGTTCGACATGTGTGTGTATAATTCTGTGTACACACGTAAGTATACTTCGTTTTTTGGGCGGCGGAGCAGATGCATCCAGTAGCGATGGTTGAAGCCCAAATATCCGAGTCTCGAGCTGCCTTTGAGCTCGGGATGGATTTCCCCCTGCTCCAGCAGACCATCCCCGCCGGCTTTCTGAGCAGCCCGAAGCAGCAGGTGATTGGCCTCCCTGAGTTTGTAGAAGGGGATCGAAGGCCAGGCATGATGCTCCATGTGATAGGGCATGCACCATGCCAGCCGTCGAAGAAACCAGTTCGTATAGGTGGTACGAGTGTTCTTGTAGACTACAGTGGAAAGCTTGCGTCCACGATGCTCAGCGAGCAAGTAGAACCTCAAAATGGGCTGTGCAAAAAGAGCAGGGCAAACCCAGAAGTGCCAAAGCACCCAAGCCGTCCCTGGACTCCTGGCGCCCAAAAGGGCCAGGAGACCGTAAACCAAGAGGTAACCGCGTGCTTCGCTTTTCACTTCATCGCAGGCCCTCTGATTCCTTAAGTATGCTTCCTGGCACCTTCCGATGGCATGGCTCACGAGGGTGGAGGCGGCATCCAACCAAAAGGGTATACCTGAGAGGTAAAGCAGGTACTGTGCTGGACGATCAATCGCCAAATCCAGGAAAGAGCCTGGCTGCAGTTCGGAATCGCGTTGCGGATTGCCCGTGTATCGATGGTGATCCAAGTGGTAGTACCAATAATGACGGGCCGGCCGCAAGCATAAGAATCCCAAAAAATGCGCGACCAGCACGTTGATCCAACGAGAACGGAATGCCGTCTGGTGCACCGTTTCATGGAGGCCATGGAAGAAAAATGCCGACACGACTGCCGTTCCCATGACAGGTGAATACAAAGGCAGCCGGCAACAAGCGACAATTGTAAAGATGCTACCGTGAAATAAGAGCTGAAGCGCCCCTTGCAGGTCAGACCTTTGTCGACTGAGTTTCGCAACCTCGGCACGTGGTACAAGAGCATCGAGACACTCGATAGATGCAATCGGGTCAGCACCCCCTGCCCTGTCGTCAGGCACAGTCCTAGCCGCCATAGCCGCTCGTGGAGGACCTCTGTCATTGACGAAACGGTGGCAGCCAAGAGGGGACATAGCGGCGTAAAGCACGTAAAAGGCCTGCGAAGGAACGAGAAGGGAGCATCCCAACACACACATCCACCTCCATAGGAGTCGTCTGGTCCAGGCCGCGCTGTTGAGGCCGCGCGCCATGGTCTTGCTGTATGACCAAAAGCTGTTCTCAGCGGCAGGATTGTCTTGTCGTACTATGATGGCCTTGGTAACGAAAGCAACTATTACTGTACTACTACGACGGTGACGACTACGTGGCAGCTCACCACTTTGACTGCTGAGCCGCTGTTCAAGCCGTGACCTTTCCAAAAAGGCCCCGCAACCTCCGCTGACAACGCACGAAAGCACCAAACACTTGGGAGATGGTCGACTGGGACTGGTAGACACGTTGCGGTGCGAACATGTGCAACTTGGCACAACACAGTGCTACAATGGCGTTCATGTGCAGGATGAACACGATGCGAGTATGACCGCGATGACGATGATAATGACGATGATGTTGATGATGGTGGTGAGGATGGATGGATGGATGGATAGATGGAGGGAGGGAGGGGTGCATGGATGCATCGAAGATGACGATGAAAATGCGCATGGTGGTGATGATGATGACTATGGTGACGAGCATGGTGACGACGACAACTTGGACGCGGCTGAAACATGATGATGGCGCTGGTGGTAGTGAAGTGGTGAGGATGCTATGTTGTGATGTAAGTATCTTCTCCGTGCTAGGGGTATGTTTTCAGAAAGGCCTTGTTAATCAGGGGCACAAAACTCCTCACAATCATGCCAAACTTGTTTGAAAACTTCCTCAGCATTCCAAACCCTTCCGGAAACATCTAGATTCTGCATGAACCTTATTACTGCTACTTCGACCCTGCATGCAGCGGCTGCCTGGATGGAAAAGAGGAATGCTAGGAAGCGACGTGCGCCCGACCGTGGAGCATTCCACCTCAATTTGGACTTATATCCGGCTCCCCATAAATGATCCCTAGCAAGCCTTGCTGACTGCATCGTTCGTCTCGGAACTGCAATTTCTGTTCCCGGATTATTCGTTATAGTTACAAAAGGCCAAGAGCAAGCATCCGTCTGCATGGTCTGTCGTACTATTTCTTGGAACAGGCTACGGGCCTGACAGCTTCAGTATGAACTACAATCACCATGAATGGTCGCAACTGTGTGATCTTGCCATCGCGATTCTCGGTTTTACACAGGATTGTACACTGCTAAATAAATTGTATACATGCACTTGTTGCATCTTCCATCTCGACCGGTCCATATTCTCACGCAGACTGCTGCAGGCTTCGGTGTATCATTGTGTGGTGCTATGTCTTGTGTGTGCGTGTCATATGTTTGCCATATGCAACCAGAAGCTAGTGATTCCCACACCTGTACACGCATGTGTGTATGCATATATGTGCGTGTATATGCACGCATGTATGCCTGTGTGAATATATGTCTGCATGTATGTAGGTATATGTTTGGGTGTAAAAAATGTACGTGTGTATGTATGTACGTATGGAGCCATGTAAGTAAGTATTAATGTATGTGTGTACAGAAAGGTATGCTATGATATGATATGGTATGGAAGGTAACGTAATGCAATGCAATGCAATGTAATGGTCATGTAATTATGTACCGGCACGATGGACATTGAAAACCTGCATCCAAACAAACACCTGTGCGAAAGGTGGAAGAGTGTTGTGTGCAGCCGCACCCCGACATGCCCAGGATTGGAAGAAGCAAACGAATGGTTGCCAAGGGAGGTCTGCTGGATGGGCCGGAAATCCGGCGAGGCTGTGAGAAATATGCATTTTTTGGAACGGATCGTGGACTGCGCAATTCCGAATTTCGCGGCGTGGATCGTGGCTCCAAAACACAGGACTTGGGGGTGTCGCTGGGGGCCGTAGCAAGCAGGGAGTCAGAAGAAACAGACATGGGGGTAAAAACAAGGGGTGGAAAAAAGGTTGGGGGTCCAAAACAGGCGGGTCCCATGCAAATGCAAAGATATACTTCTCCGTTGCTCCGACTTTTCATGCATTGCACTGCCTACTCCTCCATAACTCAAACTCCTACTACTACATACTTGTGCTTCAGATTGGTGTATGCATGTGTCTGGCTATGCGCGTACATACTTATGGGTATATGCACATACATACTTCTACCTGCGTACATACGTATATACATACATGTGTATGCGTATGTATATATGTGTATATATATATATATGCATGTATGCACACACACACGCACGCGCGCGTATATATCTGTCCATGTATACACATATACAGACACGTATGTACACATCATATAGCACGTGTTAAATCAGTACACAGTAGCTCATGATTTCCCAACGCAATACATGTAGCGAAGTAATGTTGAATGGATTAGAATGCAGCCCGTTATCTTCGCGAAGACCGATGGAACAGGCTGGGGCGTGGAAGCCAGAACCAAGTACTTTCGTGGTCTGCTGCTTTGGGCAGGGACGGTTGAACAGGCGGAGAAGCCATGCTTTGGCGGATCTACTGCATTGTGATGTTTACACGTGGCGACTGCAGTCAGAATACAGTAGTGCAGCTGAGTGTGGACAAGCATAGTCATCAAGGCTGCATGTCAGATGCCAAACCCTAAACCCAATAAACCCAACCCGAAACTCCGAGTACCGCGCTCGATTTGCTCGGTAATCACATCGATGAGGTACCGCTGGTTTAGGAGCTCGCTGCGGGTCTGCCGGGGTCGAAGTCTCCTACTGCCACTGCTACAGAATTTGCGCAACAGCCAAAGGCTCTTTGAGGCTCAAAGTTCTGTCTGCGTTGTGGATGCAAGCCCCACACCACTTCCTTGGAAGCCTTCGACCTTTCCCCTATAATTCGATGCAGTCTCCGTCCAGTGCGTGCTTTGACGGGACTTGCTGCAAGGCCAAGAAGTCCAGACTCCCGGGATCAGGGTATAGCAATTTCGCGACATCTACAAGCACTGACGCCCATTGCTTTTTGAACCTGCCTGCGCGACACAGATCAGTCTGAGGAGAATCTCGGCCGTGAACACCCACACCTCGCAGGACCGCTACTTTTCACGGACACTACAAGAGCAAAGCTAGGATAGCGTGGAATGCCTCCTTTTGAAGAGGCTAGGCACCCCTGGCCTTGGCCTATGAACTTCAGATCACTTCAGGTGCCCGCTGTACGACTGGGGTAATTAAGCGGACTCGGGCAAGTTGATGCCTTTGACTGAAACAGCTGCATGATCTAGAAACACGGCGTCAGCTAGATGGATTCCGATACCAGCGGCTGCCAAGACTTCCGGCCGTTGGGCCACTGACAAAACCTGGCATACTGTGACAAAGTGAGACGGGAGACAGAGAGAGGAGAGGAGGAGACTGCGAGACAAAGAGAAAGACATGCCCCGAGAAAGATCGAATGCATCAATGTTTCCACCTATCCGATCCGTGCTTTCAACGACAACTCCTCTCCACAGAGCAGATGATGCTGTCCGAAAACATGTGCCCAAAAGGACTGATCCTGAAGAAAGAAAGAGTCGCTCAGCTCCGGGCGCAAACCATCTCCACAGTCTCCATCCACCTGACAATACAAGCATCGCAGCTCCCTGGCTCTGGGTAGGATTAGGGTTTACTTGGAGGGCCAGGGGACTTAGTAAGTAGGTTATATGTAAAGTTATAAGTACCCTACATGGACTTACCTCAATTATAACCGTACTTATAAACGACTTACTAAGTCCCCTGCCTCTAGGGATTCGGTTCAAAAGTTTTGGGGTGCAGTTTGCTTTCGCTGCATGTGGGCTGGGGCATCCTCCAAGCAGTCTTCCCTGGAGCCATCGGGCCCGGTCTCGCTCTGGAAGCCCTGAAGTTCGCACTCGCTGTGGCCCAAAGGCAAACCCTATAAACCCCGACCCGATACCCTGAAACTGGACCTTTTTTTCCTGAGCGAACACCTTAATGCTACCTCAATCCCTCAATCCTACAACTTGAAAGGGCTTCCCATATCAGACGGCTGACGCGGGCTCCCGCGGAGTGCAGCTGTTGACCTCCTCACCCACACAGGGGAGAACCCGGAAGACCTCAAGGGCAGCGCAGACTTCTCGGAGATTGTGTTGAACTTGAGTCAGAGTCTGGCGTTTCTGAAGCTTAGCCGAGAATGCCAGCAAACCGTGAAGTCGGGCCTTGGTAGTTCCCACGATCCAGCAAATCATTGACAGGAAGACTGCGACCAGAAGGGAGCCTGCTTGTCATCTGCAAGCTCTGGGAAACCCTGAAGGGCCCAGATGTCCATTGACGCCCTACGATGGGGCAAGTGGAATCAAAGAGAGGGCCAGCGTGTGCTCAAGCGGATCTGCAATATCATGCTTGCGGAAAGCTGTCATAACAGCAGAGCAACCAGATACATCTTAGAAGATAGCTCGACGATGAAGCCCGTGGTTTTCTGCGCCTGTGATGGCTTTGGACAAAAGCGAGGAGTTGTCGCCCATGTCCAGCGCAAAATACAACCGCTCCTCCCGAGTCTATGTTTGCCGCTCGCTTTCCGCTAGAAGGAATGCCTGTGCACTCATGGAACCCTGACGATGCCGTGTTCTGAGAGCAAGAAGGAGCTTGGAGGAAAACTGAATACTTTCACAAGAGGTGAACTACCCGATACCGAGCTACAAAGTAGTAAAGGCGGGAAAAGTGAAGGCTTTGGAGCAAGGAATCATTATATAGGAGTTTCAGACAATAATGCAAAAACTACGGAGACCCTGAGACTCTAGACTCTAGACTCAAAAAATCTAGGATCGTTAATCTAAAGACCTCCACACCACAACGCACCCGAATTTCCCCCGGACACAAAAGCCATTCTTTGGATATCTACGAGCGGAGCTTGGTGTCCAAGATGGGGCAGGGGCCCAAATCATGCAGATTGATGTGGAGGCTTACGGCACTACGGCACCACATGTACGATTTACAAACATATACACGACAAACGGACATACATACATACCTGCGTGAGTACCTGAATTCGTGCACCACACAACCACGTAGTACACAAAAGACCATCAAAAGCCTTGACTAGCGGAAAACGTTAACTGCAGATGTTCCCATCTTGCATGATTCCCTCTGGTGGCGATTCGTGTGAACACGATGACAGTCACGA